CTTAAATTGTCGAATATAATCAACTATTTTCTCTAAGGAAAGCTAAATCAGAGATCAACACATTGTGAAATGAAACAAACCTTTATGTAAGACTTGCATACTTCCTTCAAAAAAGAATGAAAAAAATATATAAAAGTACGTGTACTGGTATACCTGGAGATATTCATTGCATTTTATGGCCACTATTCAATGATGAGCATATAGAATGTGTTGAAATATGGAATCGTAATAAACATTGAATCCAATCATAATATTAAATCAAGTTGAAATAAAAGAAATTGTATATTCTTTATTCATTCGTGTCATTTTGTTGAGAATTTGGCCCACGATGTAATGATTCAATACGCACTTCAAACGTACAGTTCTTATCAAATCTATTTTCTTATTTAGTTCATTTAATAATTTGACTTTCTCTTTTTCATATAGAAATGATGTTGTTGACAATAATAGATTTTGCTTTGACTTATTAGGCGCATTTGATACGTAGATTGAATTGCTTTGACGTGTTACAATCAAACCAACAAAGAATGAATTAAAACCAAAGAAGAACCGAATTATGATTAATAATACGATGCAAAGTGAATCGGTACCATTAAACGGAACCTTGCAAATTTTTAACAAAAAAATGTTCACTGAATTTTCAAACACAATAAATTAAATTATCAAATTTGTATTTTTCATCCATGCCTTGTTTTATATTGAAAAGTAAATAAAATGCTTGAACAAAAATTAAATTGGTGGTCATTTATTTATTCCCACTGAAATTTGACAACTCAATTACTTCTGATAACAATGTATGTATTATGTCAGATTTTTTTTTTTTTCGAAAATTCCTTTTTGATGAAAAAATCTTATAAAAACCGAAAATATTCTATTTATACTCATGCTTTTTCGCTGTTCAGCACAAAAAGAAGTGAATAGGCTCATTTTAACGAGCCTGAACCTTCAGATTAATGCCAGAAATTGGTGCTCGTACGCCCGTAAGAGGACTCAACACAAGCGGTTTGTTGATGTGCTGTTCTCCCAATTTAAACGAAAAATTCTTCAATAATAAGCAAACGCCGATTTTCGCTTGGATTTTGCCCAATCGCATTCCTATGCAATTTCTTGGGCCATCACCAAAAACTAGATAGGGCATTTCAATTGAATTTTTGTTGGCACTTTGATCATCCTTAAATCGATCAGGATTGAATTTTTTCGGGTCGAAATAGTATTTTGGATCGTATTGTGGGCCAAGGACTGAAAACATAACCGGTGTTCCTTTTTCGATGACCACATTCGTGTTTGCCACTTTATAATCTTGTGTGCACTCTCTTGTGATGAATTCAAATGGTGCATGCATTCGAAGTGTCTCTGTAGCAGAAAAAAATGTTCAGCATAAAACGAAAATTTCAATGGAAAATTCGGAATTTGGAAAATTTAGACGTACCATCAATACAAGCCTCCAAATATCTCATCTCTTTGAGTGAATCATAAGTTAATTTTCCGTCGTGCTTTTGTAAAATGCTTGTGATTTCCTCATACGCCTTTCGTTGTATCTCTGGGTTTTTAGCCATTTCGTACATACAAAATGACATGGTCGTACCTAATAAAATTCATATTTAGAATAAATAATAAAATTATTTGTATTTCATACAACGTACTTGAGGACTCATATCCGGCTATGAGAAAAACGTATGCTTGCGCTGCCATATCATCCAAAGTCATTGATTTAGGGTCATTCGTTGCTTTCGTTGTCCAATCAGCATTATCTTCTTCCACTTTTCCCGTATTTCTCAACTGTATCAACAGTTGGAAGAAATCTTTTCGCGATACGTTATTCTGTTCTCGATACTCCAAATTCTAAAATTAGAATTATAAGCATATCAAAATAAATAAATAATAAATTAATCATATCACATAATTAATATTATTACTTGGCGAATGGTATCTTTCATGAATTCTTCAACGTCTTTGTCAACAAATCGGACTCCGAATAACTTTGTCAAGAATGGGCTTAAATATGAAATATTAAAACGAACCACATGCTTAAATTTTGGCTCAAAGAATCGCCAAGCATATTCTCTGAACTCATCGTCCGGATTTTCGAAACAATCGATCTCGATACCGAATGCAACCGACGCAATCACATTCGTAGTGAATCGAGCAAATATGTCACGCACTTCAATCTCTTTGTTATTTGTCGCCAATTTTTTTAGATGATTCTCGAGTGGTATTCCACAGTCAACAATCGTTTGAAACATTGCCTTAATTTTCCCTGATGTGAATGTAGGTGATAATTTTATTCGCATTTCTTTCCATTTCTCACCACTCTGTGAGAACATGTTACAAGCCAATGGATCTATATTTTCATCGTAATGAAAGCCTCGATGCCAAAAATATTGAAAATCTTTTATAAAAATATCTCGTGTAATTTTTGGGTCACGAATCAGAAGGGCTGGTCGGAGCGATGTAAAGATACCCAACATTGGTACATCATTTACGCTGCTGTACAGATCTTGAAGAGTATGACCAAATGCTCTTTTCTTTGTGAATGTTAGACCGAAATTTCCGAACGGAAAAGTTGGCTTTGCATAGGGCACACCACGACGTTTCCAATATGAAAATACATACTGCACATAGAGATAGGCAGTAGCAATCAACGTGGCTAAAACTGCCGAGATCAACCACAATGACATTGTTCACTTTCTGGATTTGTGTTCTTTTGCCCCAAAAGTGCTGTACTTCAATTTCCAGTTTTCAACGAACAAAAATGTAAACAATGAACAAATTCTCTTCAAACCAACTTCTTTTCTTAACAAACAAATATTCACTTTGGTTTTTGACTGGCGAATTAAATGGAATTTTCTTTGACTTTCAAATGCAAACTGTTCACAAATTTTCCATTCAAACAGTATTTATGTGCTTGCTCAGCAAGTCATAGCTTTTGATTATTGTTTTTGAGTGCCTTGTGACAGTCTCAGAACGAAATGCGAACATACACATTTAAGAGAATAGATTACAGCGATTGTTCACCATATGCACACCTAAATTCTAGTATAGCAATCTAGTACATTATGTCACTTGTACGCAAGTTAATTAGCCACTGACTTTAAACGCCCTGCAAATGCTACTAATTCTAATGTCACTTTTGTTGTGGTAAATGTATATACTGAAATGGATATACTATTTCAGGTCATGTTTATCAAAACAAAAGTGACATTAGAATTTGTAGCATTTGCTGTGTGTTTATTGTCAGAGGTAAGTCAACTTGCGTTCAAGTGACATAATGTACTAGATTTAAATACTAGAATTTAGGTGTGTGAGCTAGGAAATTGTCTGTTTTTCCAATTAATCCCAATGATAACAATAATAAGCATTAGCATTTTTTTCGGAAAGTAAAATATGTTCCAAATTCATCAATGGGGCTTTCATGTTTCTGTTATCATGTCTGTACAGGCTAAAAATAGCTATTTTTTCATTCTACTCTTTACGTCAAAAGATTAATAGTAGACTCCATTATATATACACTACCGTGCAAAAGTTTGGAACCACTAGGTATTTTTCATACAAATTGATCATTTTTGGTGGAGTCATTAACATATTTCGGAAACACCTGCACTCTTGATATTTTGTGCATAGTTTCTACAACGTTTCAATAGTAAATCGCAGAGGTTTCATCAAAAAAATTTCACGTATTTAAAAAATATATCAATTTGAATTTGATCTGTTTTAATCTTCACACAAATTTGATCATTTTTCACACAGTACAAATTCAAATTGCTATATTTTTGAAATTCATGAATATTTTTTGATGAAACCTCTGTGATTTACTATTGAAACGTTGTAGAAACTATGCACAAAATATCAATAGTGCAGGTGTTTCCGAAATATGTTAATGAGTCCACCAAAAATGGTCAATTTGTATGAAAAATACCTAGTGGTTCGAAACTTTTGCACGGTAGTGTATGTCCAATGGCTATCGCTCTAGATAATTATGCTTTTATATTACGCTGCACAAAAAGAACGAGATTCGTTTTACAGCAATAATCTTACGAATATGTCAATCCCAAGCATTATCGATCTCAATATTAATTTGTTATTATCATTATCGTTCTTCATGTAGTTTTCAGAGTGAAATATAAGTGTTTTTGTTTTTTCAACAAGCCTTCAGGCCTCTGTTATCATGTCTGTAATGAGACTTGATTGTTTTCACTCCTACTGTTCACGTCATATGATTAATAAATAGTTTCTATCGACTGCTACTTAGATGATCTGTTAATTTTTTGACCTCACGCTTTATAAAAATCGAACCAGATTTGCGGTTGGATGGTAAATATTAGCGATACTTTGTATTATCTCAATTATATTTTACAGTAAAATTGTATAGTATCAGTTAAGTTATAATGGTTCATACGACAAGCAGTGCAATAATTGATGGTGAAATTATTGATCGGAATAGTATGATATCATGGAAAATATATGGAATTTTTTTCATCGTGCATTATTCGCACGAATGCGTGAAATCGCAAAAATTCTCTGTCATTGCAAAGCTTCTTATTGCTACACTGGGAGTAGCCCAATGTGGTTGGTTTTTTTTTCTATTGAAATAAGTTATTTTATACAGAATTTTCTGGTCGAAATTTTCCTAAATATACCTCGAAAGTAGTAACGATGAGGAAAACATCGAGGAACTCTTTTAAAATAACGTCGAATCATATACGTATCAATATGAAGTGACTGCACTCATTAGGCAACATCAAGAAGCTGAAGAGGCTACAATACTGCATTTGCATGCTGTGATTTATGTGATGCAATATTTTGAAGCTAGAATGTATAGCACAGCAAGTGTTCGAACAGCGTAAAAATCGTCTTCGGACACTATTTGCGCATTAAAGCGGTGAAAAATGTTTTTTAAGACCAATGGAAAACCAAAATTTCTTTTATTCTAAAACATGTTTATTACATAATTTTTTTTTAGATACAAACTATGCATACATCCATCAAGAGAAATTTAATAAATATGGTAAGTAACGGTATTCTGCACCTTAGCATCCAAGCGCTAAATTATACGCGCATATATATTTGCCGGGCTTAAGAACAAAATGCATTTTCATGCTATTCTTCAAAAAAGGTAAAATCTGTTATCATCTTACGTGTTCGGAATCACGAAGCGCGTTTGGTTTTTTCTTCAATAGTAGTAATATTTGCTTATTCGACAAAGAAATTCAACATTATATGGTTATAGTGTATACGTGTAAATAAAATCGAAAATGGTTGACACTTCAAATATTGGCCAATGAACAAAGTATGAAGCACTTAAGCTTCTTTATTCTCATGATTTCAACACAAGTGGCAAAACGAATAAGGGCTCATTATGTTTCGGATTATCAGAATAGAGAGACCATGTTTGCTTTCTGCAGTCGAATATACCTGAAAACAAATAATAAAATTCTATACCAATGGGTCACTTTCAAAAAAAAAAAAAAAAATCTTCATCTCCATACCAACTGCAATGGTTTTAACAAATTCATCGCCGCCATTTTCACGGAATACGGTGTGTACCTTTCCACTTTGATCACCGAGCATATTCACCGCGTCCTCTTTAGACTTTGGTTTACCGAGACGATCGAACGCTTCATGGCGTGCAACGCTCGAATCGATGATCGGTCCAGTCACTTCTTTGATGGGAAGTCGTAAGTACCTGCCGAGGAGAATGCATATTAATTTCGTTACTCAATAGCGAAAATCATCAAAGATTGTTCAGAAATGTTACTCATACTTGTTTGCATGAACAATACTTTCGCCAGAGCTTATAGTAAGTACATTCAATTGAGATTGGTTTTCACCTGGCGCAGCTGGCCCCATTTCTATATTATGGAATAAACGATCTCCTTCTTGCCTGAAATGTGAAAAAAAAACATTAAAAATGGTCTTATCGTTTCGAATTAGTTCTTATCGTAAAATTGATTTTTAATCTCACTTTAAAAAGGTCATGTTAATAGAGCAGCCGTCAGCCGCTCCAACACCGGTATCGCGGAGAATCTTTTGCGCTTGCTCAAAGTTTGGCACACTCAATAATGCCCTTGTTATGAAATGTCGTGCTAATTGTTTGTAAATAAAACATTGCAACACATAAGACAGAATCAATATTATCAAAGTGGGCTACAGTTTAAGTACAGAACAAATGTAATAAGCCAAACGTTTCGGCTCGTAATCATTTTTTTTTTCATTTAAATCAACAAAACTAGAATCAGCTTTACAAAGAAATACACTGTATAATTACGTGTCTTTCCGCTGTGCAAAGTGTTTGCACTGAGTGTATTGATCGAATACACAAGCCCATGGTGATTATATCCCATTGTATAACCAGGTAAATGACCTGCATAACAAAGTGATGTGAATCGTTCTTCTGATACCTAGAAAAGTGATACACCAGAATTATTTCGAATTTCGAGCAAAATTCCATATTAAGCTGTTTTTAACGAGGTATGGTTACTCATTTTCGGTGTAATATAATTTGAATTCCATCGAAAATGTTTGCTAATACTAACTCTATGCTTTCCTTGCGGTGTAGATTCGATGATGTGGGCCGACACAATATAAAAGTGATTTAGAGTTTCTTGCAGTGCATCCTCGGTATGTGCAAGAATTTCCTAAATGAAGAGCATCGACATTCGAATGGGTAAGAAAATGTTGAATAAAAATGAATCGACCCAATTAGAAACTCACATTATCCGGTTGATTCACGCAAATTGTCGAGCAGCCGATGGGTGGATGCACTCCGTTTATCCGATTCGTTGCATTTGGTGTTATGTCATCCATATGAAGTAAGAAGAGCTAATCCAGGTACAATTATATTTTATTTATAATTTTCAGCCAATTTGTCAATTCGATTACGATGACACCCACCTTATGAAATTAAATGAAATTACCTTATGAAATTCAACACCGGCACCGTGAGCAACTCCCTCAAGCTCTCGTATATACTGCGGAAACGATTCCTTGACACTTTTGAGCGTGGCATCGTACACGGCCTCTGTTCATGGGAAAATACGAATGATTAATCTTGTTCTTGTGCCGTTTTTTTTTTCAACAAAAAAAAACTAAAATTGGTCACTCACTTCCTTCTGGCGTTTTGTATAATGGTAAGTATTCGGTGTTCAACGGGACGGAAATTTCCAAGAAACTTTTGATCAATGCAGCAAACGTTCGGCCCTGCAATTATAAATCAATTGGAAATCTTTTTTCTTGCTTATATTCATTCAAAGATCTTTAGTAATTCGAATTACTTGGAATAAGAGCTAAAAGTGAAATCAGAGAGACATTATTTTCTGTGCAGTCGAACTCACGATTAAATCTCATTTTAACGTGACACTACGAATGTACACTGTCATTGGTTTGCCTTGGTAATAAAATCAACCACAAATGTGACCACATTCGGTGATGTTTGACTATGTGATTTTTTTTTTCACAAATTCTATGTGTCAATTGAAGATAGCACAGATTTGAGTGTATGCAAGCCATTTGGGTCTAGCAGTTGTCAACCGTGGCAACAAATTCACGTTCAAGTTTCCATTGATGCGACGCGATTAGATACGTACAAAAACCCATAAATCTCGTTAGCGTAAAAATGATCGTTATCAAGAGTTCATTATTCAATTATGGCATTTAAAACGTTTTGTTTCTGCTTTGTTTTGTGCATTTTATTATTTATTTATTCTTTTTTTTTATCGCACTGTAATTACAAAATTTATAATAATAAATGTGTGTGTCAGATTTTTTTTTCGGCTCAAATATATCTATTGTGAGCGGCAGCCGAAATGTGTTTAGTAAGAATCGTGAAAATATGAAGAAAAAAAATGATTGTCACCGTTTATTTGTTTTTTTTTCTCTCCGTCTAAAATTTGCGTGAGCATTTTCATGTTGTTTTTGGGGTCGAACAGTCATGTTCTACTTATCGAGGACAGCAGAGGAAAAAAAAATCAACAATCGAATTTGATTAAATTTTCGTTTTTGTTTTTAATTTAATAAAAGGCTTCTGTTTCTATTTATCTCGTGATTCTTTCATTTATTACATTTGTTTTTTGATTAATCTTGAGTCATACGCTGGGATCGGAGCTTAAGTAATTTGTTAAAAGTTATATGATTAATTTCGAATAATAACGATTTTTTTTTTTTGCTTTTCGTTCAATGTAACAATTGTGTGAACTGCATTGCAACGATTTTATTTGTGCAATGAATTCATTGCCTGTAACACGCTGATTATACAGTCACTTTGTGACGCAGATTCCACTTAGAATCGATGCATTTGTACAGTTTCCTGTGATAAGCCAATTTAGTGATTACTTTTAATTGGATTTGCCTATGAAATGCAGCGAGCAGTGCAATTGCGAAGAAAAAGGCAGAATGTAGGATTTTTGGTGTTCAAGACAAGTGAAACGCATTTTATCATGCAAAGAGAGGAAAATTTTTGCGTTAAATGTCTACGCAAATATTTTTCTCTTTGCACATAAAAATGGTTGGCAGTTTCGTAGAGAATTATTATTTACTTATTTAGGTCATATGATTCATACTTGATTTTATCACAGCAATCAAAATTTTTCATTTAAAAAATGATTTAAAAAGAAAAGATAATTTGGAAAATATTCGTGTAGCTATTGATTGTCGTGAAAATTTGTTCGAAAAAACTAAGTATAAATTTTCATTTATTGAAATTGATTTGGAAGAGTCAGTCTTGGTGGTGTATTAAAATTCATTTAAACTTGAAAAGAAACTCTGAATCTTCGAACATCCTTCACTTTCTTTCTTGCGACAATTTCTTTAAATTCGTACGTACTTAAACTTTCTTTAAAATGATTCGGGAAATCAATTGAAAATAAAAAACATACCACATCAAATCCGACGTCATAGTGAGTTCCTTTCGTGTAGAGAATCGGTATGCATTGTCTGCGTGGAATATTCTTTCCATGAGGTTGTAATTGTTCAGTAGCTGTTGTTCCGGTCATCTCTTTTTTGATTTTTGAGTGAACTCTTTGTGATTTGGACTAATTAAGTGATATTAACGCAGTCTAATTACATATTAAACAAAAGAAATAGGAAGTACGAATTAAGATTTAGATAAAAAAAATTGTAAAATTGTTTGAATTCTAACACGTCCTGAATAGACGATAAAATAGCTACACGAATGGGTTAATTAACAAATGAATGCACATAAAATACGTTATAAAATAAAGTTATGAATGAATGAAAAAAAAATAACTCGTTTGAATTATGTCTGCATACTAAGGTCAATATAGCTAGCAACAGAGATCGGATTTTGGTCTAAAATATGACTCAAGATTTAATTCTTATTTCTTCTGAACAAACAGAAAATGCACTTCAATTCTAATCCACTTGCCTACACAACCAACGAATGAATGGAATTAACGAAAAACTTCAATTATATAGAGAGCTGATATTTCCACGAGCTATATTCAAAGGGGATACTTCACGTTTTGTTTGGCACAAATTCAATGTGTTCGTCGCTGTGTCGCTTTACGGGACGTTTACGTTGTGTGCATGCGGTTGACTTACAATCGAAATAGCACAAAACGATAAGATACGGTGTCGTTTGTACTCGACTCTCTCTGTGTGTGTTTTCAACGCGCGCGTTTTGTATTTATTTTTATTTAAAAAATCGATGACGTGTGGTCAATACGACACAAGCGAGAATTATTGTTTAGCGTGAGAACAGAGAACAGCTGATAGTTCGTAAAGTCATTTACTATTGTGGCTGTCTCGTCCAGAGCGTCAACACGCAACACACTTCTAACTAGATTCTCAGCTATTCTTATACATCTCTGTTGGTGGCAATATTACATTTTTTTTTTCGCTGTATAAATCACAAACTGAACAAATCAGTTTTCAAGATGTTTTACGCTCTTTAAGTACAATCGTGTTTGTTCTTTTTCGATTTCACATGGAATTTTAACGCCGCAAACAGAATAATTGTTTAATAAACCCCTTTTATTAGGCAATTTACAAATGATTTTTTTAACAACAATTTCGCATTGAGATTAAGAATTTCTCACAAATAATTTTGCTGGAAACATTGCCTCTGATAATAATATACTTGAATTGGAATCAACACAAAATTCATTTGATCAAGGAAATTTTCTTCTGATAAATGGAGAAAAGAATTTTACGTTTTCTAGTCATTAAAATGCCTATTTTAATAAAATCACAATCAACTGCCATCAACGATCAGCTTACATCTAATGGAAAAAGTTAACTGGCCTATCAAGGCGTCAATCTAATTTTCTTACATTTTTCCTCTTTCAATTTATCAATACCACTACTATCTATTTAATTGAGTAACAATAAAATTTAAGAATATTACGATGATCTTACGCGAAAAGTGAAATAAACAATCGGTTAAGGAACCAAACATGCAATTAATTGGTTGGTTGTTCTTTCAATGTATTTTTTATTTCTTTCAATTTTGCGCACATTTTCCGTTTCTTTTATCTACATGAATACCAATTTACACATAAAATGAGTGCGATTCACGAACGAGTTTCTTGAAGTAATCCTTAAATAGAGAGAAACAACATTTACGTTTCAAATCATGACTACATTCTTCATAGCAAACTCAAGGCCGATAACGGATGAGTCTGACGCCTTCATTTGGACAAACCTGATCTGCAGTCATTCAAAAATTTTCGATTTTTGGTCAAAATTCATAAAATCCACATAAAATATTAGAATTATCATTTTATATCCAATAATTTAATATAAATAATTAAAATATAGTTGGAATATTTAGTTGTTGATAAAGGCTAACTTCTATCGCATCCTCTATCGCATGCAATCAATTCCAAATTTTTCATGTGAAGACTGGGCATAGTTTTCTTTTTATTTATTTTGAGATGGAGTTGGAAAAAACTTGAAAATAGAATAGATCAAGTCCACAAAAACTTTAAAAACTAGAATTTAACTCTACGAATCCGATGATTGACAAATATAATGAATACTCGCACTCAATACACACCGTACGTATTACACACAGTCTTCTGTTTTGTTCTACTCTGTTCTGCTTTGCTATACTGAGTTTGTACCGATTTTTTTCTCTTCATGACTGCTTATAGTTCGCCAGCGCAACGTATGCACGTAGTCGTTAAGTGCTCGGTCGAGACGATGCCTACTCATACTTACCTGGTGTAGAGGTTATTCGTGATCATCAAGGCGAATCCTCCGGAATGAGGCTCTTTCATTGCACTTTCGAAGGGGCTGAACTCTGCGATTAACTCTAATGCAGTTAACTCGTGCATACTATTTTTGGTAGCCGGGATTAGCGTTCGCGCTATCCCGAATTTATTCTGACATCATTTGAAATGAATAAAAGCAAATCTAGGCAGAAACTCTGTTGTTTCGCCATGGATTTTGCATTTTCCGAGACAAAAACTCATGCAAAAAAATCAAATCAAACTCATTTTCATGTGATTTGAATTTTCTATTCATTTAATTCCTTTATTTAGAAAAAGAGAGACTCAAAAAAAGAGACTACAGCGACTACAATGACGAGTGCGAAAGAAAAAAGATGATGTTGGATGATGACAGCAACAAATATCAATTAAGATTAGTTTTAAGAGAAAAATACAAATGATAATACCAATATAGAACTTAGTTCTGCGTCGTGACAGTGGCTGCTGAAAAGTTGCAAGAGGCTATTCTTACCGCATAGGACGCAAACAATTCGGCGAATCCGTTCGAAAGAACTGGAATGCTTTGAATCCGATGATTGAACTATGACAGTTAATTTTCTAAATTTCCAATTAATTGTTATGAACAAAAATATCAATTAGCAAAAATATCATAAAAAACTTATTACCCAATTTCCTAAAGTTTGTTACGATAAAATTACATTTAATTGCAGTTCCCAATAATTTTTGTCGAAAAAAATAGCGCTTGTGTGGAACCTTTTGTTGCACAAAAAAAAACCTCCTTATTAAAAAGTTGTCATTGTCATTACAACAATATGACGCTGAATATTGTTAAATCATCTGGTTTTATTTAAGAGAAAAAAAACTTCGCCAAATCCCAAGTTGCTTGGGATTTACAATCAGGTTCTAAAATAGATAGATATATATAATGTATCATGTATATGATGTGATAAGTGGAAAACGCCCAGAGTGTGTGCACGATCAACTCGCTGCTAGTTATTCGTTTAATTAGTCGTCGATGTGAATTGGTTGCGAAAAGATGTTTACAATGCGTGCGCCAGTGATTGCTTTCACCATTTTTCTAATTTGCTCTCAAGTAAGTATAATTTTCGTAATTACAGTGTGTGAGACATTGGAAACTGTATCGGTAATTTTAGGCCAAATCTAAATTGAGTATCACATATTCTAATTGTGCCCCGCACTAAACAGGTATCCACAGACGAGTCGAGCAAAGATGAGGAGCAACGCGTCCAAGGTGTGCTGTTAAAAATACTAACGGCCAGCCTGCAAGAATCGCGATACGCCGTGTTTGAGCACACTATCAAAGAATACCATAAAGAATGCTTCGATCGAGTGTACAAAAACATCTCTGAGGCAAACAAGCCGAATAAATTGGAGCAACTCGATCGTTTGGAAACGTTATACAAAACGCACATCGAGAATTACCCGAAACAAAATCGTCAGGCCATTTTGGACGATCAAATTCCCGAGCCAATTTCACGAAATGCTGGAATTGCTACGAATGCACTTTGCCAACAAATGCACGGTTTTGCAGTGTAAACAAACACAAATTTCTCTCGCCTAATTGATTTTCATTCGCTAATCACAAGATTCTTGGCGAATAAATGTAAAGTGTGAAGTCGGAGAAAATGAGATTGAAAAAAAATAAAAGACAAGAAGCGGTTTTAATTAATATTCAAAGATTTTGCTGTTGTTTTTTCTTCTTCTTCTTCTCTTTTGCTAAATATTGATAATACCTGCATTGATTCCGCACAATTGGCCTGCCGACTGAAAGATAAACGAGCGATAAATGCTGGTTCAGAGTCAGTTTCATGTTTGTTGATTAATTTCTCTCATAATTGTGCATTCATCAACAGTTTGTGTCAATTGGAGTGAGCGGGCGAGATCGAGACATTCTATGCTTACGAGAAGAAAAAAACAACACGACACAACACAATCCCACTCTACATCGATATACAAATGCAACAGAGATAATTCCCATCAGCAGCAGCAGCAGCCGTTGGAGAAGAAGAGAGAAAAAAACAAACGTGATGATGTTTAAAGCGTGTCTTGACTGGGCGAAAGAAAGAACGGGAAAACAAACAAGTTTATTGTGCTAATCAAGTGCTGTAAAATTCCGGTATATATGAGAGGAGAGTCGTACAAACGTCTCTTATGCTGGCTCTGTGTGGTGCAAACAATTTGCGTCTGCACATTTTGCATGTGAATGTGAGAGAACTTTCTTCAGAATTAACCGCTACATGACTGAATGCAATGCGCCCATTGCATGGCAACCACACATTAATTGAATGGTATGCATGCCATCGTGTGGCCACAATGGGTTAGATGCAATTTAAAAATGCAGCGCTCACAGTGAACTTTACTTTAGCATACGCAATTCATTCATTCATTGTGGCGGAGGCATATAAACAGGCATAGCAACGATTTTTATTTAGTTAAATTGGTGCGTTCGTTACGAATTGACGATCCAAAGAGTCGAATTCAAAAACTCTTTGCATCTGTGGTAGCCAAAACAATAAAAGACTCGTGAAAATGACCAAATTATCGCTGATCATAGCAACATCGTTCATTGTTCAAGTAAGAAAAAAAAAACAATTCCATCATCGGCAGTTCCGAGTGTGCGTGTGTGAGCTGTGTGAGTGTGATTGTGTGTTTTTAATTCTGTTTGTTTTGTTTTTAATTTAGTTGATTTACATAAAGAACACCACGCCATCATTCACCACAGCCATCAAGGCACGATCCATTTCGGCTGAGAATCAAGTGAAACGTATCACCGAAAATTTGACACTGGCAATCAATGGCCACGAAAATGTAGAGAAGCGATATGATGCATTCAAAGCGGTTATCGATCGTATCGGTCGTAATTGTCGCAAAGTTGCATTTCAATCCATCATTGACAAGGCTAATGTAAGCAATGCCAATGATATCAAGGCGCAAGTTGAAGATTACTATGTGAAACACGTGAAAAACTCGGCGGAACAGTCGAAACAGGCCATTTTCGAACGGCAAGCTACACAACCCATCGCACAAGCTGCAGCTGTGGCCGTCAGAGCAACGTGCCAGCAAATGTTAAATATTGCCAAAAATCGAATTAAAGCCGCCAAAAATTCTCCTGATCCAAAATTAAATGAAAGAAAATAAAATGCCCATTCTTTTTTTCTCATAACTTCTTTACGCATAATATTTATGGAAAAAAATCTCTTTATTTATTATTTCTTCTTCTCATTCTTTCTCGAATAAAAATTGCTATTTCTATGGAAACAATGCTGTTTTCTTTTTTTTTCCCCGCATTGTTGTCACGTATAGCTCCGTTTTGCACATGCGAATCTGATTGTTCATTCAATATGCTAAGTTCAAATACCAAACAAAATAAAATATATTATGGAAAACAATAAAAAAAAAATATTGCAACAGTGCTATAACACAAGCGATTTGCAATTAACTTAATCTGATAAGAGACTCTGGTCTCCATTTTTTAGCTATTGATGAACTTATTTGCTCTTTCTTAACATTTATCCTACTCTCTCAATCACAGATTGAAGCTTCACCTTACAAATCTTATTATTTGAACTGAATTCAGCCTTGTTTCTTCTTTGATAACAGTTTAACTTATGATTAGATTTGGTTGGTTACACTATGATTAAGGCACATTTTTATGTGGTTTCAAATTGGTCGATTATGAGGCTATGCGGCTATGAGGCAGTCGATGTGACCATGCGGCAGTAGTGTGGTGTGGTGTGTTGAGGTTCATTACATTTGATCGAGTGGTTCGATTTCTAAAATCGCCAACGACTTGAGGAAAATCGTTCGAAGCGCCTTCAGCAAGTAGATGCGAGCGCACATCACTGGTACCAATTGCGGCAGATTGTCCTGTTTTGGAAGAATACAAATTCGGTTAGTAATTATGACTTGATGAACTATGTTCGGTTGGTGCTCATGATTTTTTTTCGTTATATAAAGATATTCAGAATGAACTCCAAAAAAATATTGCTCGTTAAAAAAAATCTGTCCATTGTTTACCGTTAAAATCTTGACACGATGGTAATATACGCTGAATAAAGCCGACAAATTGCTCAAAAACGTGCACAGCAAATGGATGGCAATTTGACCGTTGTCAATTCCGCTGATGCATCGCTCCAACATCGTTGGAAATCCAACGATATACACATAAAACATTTGCCACTCTTCCTGTTGCGATGAAAAAAAAAACAAAAACGAAAACAATCAACACCAAATAACAGCATCTTTCATCAAAAGGAACACACAGAGAGACGACCGAATGCATTGGAATACGCACAAAAGTAAATGCAAAGACAAAAACAAAAACAAAACATCGGAAAAAGATAAACAAAAGACACAACGAACCTCTTCTTTCAGCAATCCAAAGTCAATTTGCTCAAACTCTGGTAACGGGTCATAGAATCCTCTCGACACTTGATGATCGAACGATGCCAACAGTGTTTGAAGCCGTGCCACATTGTACAAGATGAATGCAGCTCCTTTGACTGTGGACGTTACCGTCATCAGCTTCTCGAAATCGATGGCGTTGAAATGCTTGATTTTCAGCAAATCGAATGTAACGATGGCCGTTCCCAATTTCTGACACTTGTCGATGATGACATTCTCCTTGTTGTAGCCATGCTTCAATTCAGCCAGTTTCTCCATTTCCAATGAACGACGTCTGAAAAACAACCAACACATTTTTATTTATGAATCAAATTGGTTGTTTTTCGTCAATCAATCAATTTCCAATGTATCGAATCGATTATTCTGCCAATGCTTTTGTTTTTGTATCAACTTACTGAATGAAATCGTCAGCTGTAAGTCCGGATCGGCTTTTCACACTGCCACAAACAATCAAAATCGATTTAGCGTTGACACTGGCATTGTTGTTGAGCTCGATGTCCTCTTGCCTGTTCGCTCTTTTTGCACCATCTCTCCTGGCGCACGTAACCAAAATCTCCATCAAATTGCGTGCAGCGAACCCCTTTCCATTTGGTTGTGTTTGAAAACCGGAAAAACGCAGCAAATTGGCCAGAACCTTTGAAACCAACGTGCATCTGTGCTCAACGAGAGTGTTGTCACCCGATTTGACCAATTGAACTGCGTAAATGGTTTTTGCGTCGTTTGCATCGTGCCACTGTCCGTACGATGCGTCGTCATAAAGTACCGTTTTCAAGATGCCATCGTAGCACTTTTGCCGATCGAGGAACAACAAACATCGGAATTGCTTGAATTTCACCGATTGAATGGGAAACAACCACTCGGCACTGATTTCGATCAATTTCCGCGCAAATTCCTCTTCATTGTCACCGATGATTTGCTTCAAACCATTCAAATCCGGATTTTCGATGGCATTTAACCATGGTTGAATCGTTGTAGGAAAACCGATATCACCGCTTTGTGATAGCTTTTCGGTGTGCTGTTTAACAATGGTTTGTGCACGCGAAAACGTGAAATCACTGTTCAGCACAAATTTCCCAATTTGCGAAAAAAGTTCGTCGATTTGTGTCATTCTGGCGGTCTCGGTTCAAATTTCACTGAGTTTTTCTTCTCTTGTACGTGCTATCGAAATTTTGGAGTGGATTGATTGACTTTTGTCCAACAATTGAATGCCACTTTATACGTGTTTCAATTGAACTTGTTCGTCTTCCAGCTGAATTCGGACTAAACAATGCGCTCTCGACTGTTGCCGCTTTGCTCACACAACAAAACTCTGCTGATGCTGCTGTTTGCGTGATTGTGTGCGAAGTCAATGTGATGGAATGACATTTCATATTCACCACAGCTCTTATGTCAACACTGAACGATGATGACAGTTTGAGGTTACGTTCCACCCGTCAGTCACTAAACACAAAAACGTGCTTGAATACATAAGCACGATACCGGATTGAGTTTCAATTTTATTTTGATTTTTGATAGTTTTTCTTTCGCAGTGAACTATCAAAATGACGATGGTGAAAAAGCGTTTGTCGAAAAAGACCAAAGGGTCGTGGCGAAAAATCGAGCATGAAGATGTGGAGAATTTCCTCGAAGATCAGCGTTTGGAAGAGCGCATGGGGTAAGCCAATAGTTTTTTTTTAATTGTTATCACGCACATTTTCCATGTATTTTTCCTAAGGTCTTGATTTGTTTGGTGCGTTGAGATGACCTCAAACAAATGGTTTCATCTCTCAATATGATTAACAATTGAATGAATTACAATATTAATTCCCTTCTCTTTCCACTCACAGAAAAGTCTCGGAGAAAACAAACGATGAGTTGTTTGTGGTTGACACAGAGCCAACGAAAAAGAAGAAAAAGAAAATTGGATTGACGTTGCGTGAGAAACGAAAGAAGCTGCTCGAATCGACGCCAAAATGTTTTGCATCACTGTTGAACGAATCAAAAGTGCCAGATCCAATCGCCAAACGGAATCGTGTACGAACAAAAGAGGAACGGAAGCATTTCATTGCCAAAAGTTTGGAGCAAGCCAATGAGGTAAAAGGCATTGTGAAGAAAAAAGTGTTGACATCATTGGCTGATCGAGCCCGGTCATTGGAAACGGCTGAAGCTAAGCGCAAGGCCAACAAGCAGAAGGTATTCGATAAGGATATTTGGGAAATGAGCACGCCAGCCGAGCAACGAACCGAATTCCAAAATGAATGGTTCGATAAAAATGTTGCGATACACAACATTGTCAACACAGGCACACCGGTAGTTTCGGTACCATCATCAGCGTTCCACAAACGCAGCAATTTAAAGTAAGAAATTGGCCTTCATTTGTGAGTTCAACAGAAAAATTTAGAATTTGTTTTTTTTTCTCATCAATTTCAGGGCTGTTCAAGCGCCACATCCAGGCACCAGTTACAATCCAACGCTGAAAGACCATCAAGCCTTGCTGGAATTGGTCAAAGAGCGTGAATTGAATATAATCAAACAGGAGGAGCATTTGAACCGTGTTACAACGGAAATGTTCAAAAAGGTATCAGCCGATGAACGCGACACATTCAAGCTCAAGGAATTGCGTGCCGGTCTCGATGACGATGAGGACCACGATGAGAAGGCTTCAGACGATGAATATATCGCCGTGAATCCACCGGTTGAAGTCAAGAGAAAAGACAAAAAAGCCAGACGAAAACAGAAAACACAGCGTGAATTGCAGCTAGCCTTGCAAAAGAAGAAACAATTGAAGAAACAAACAGCCGATTTGCATCGATTGAAAAAGTTGACGGCCGAAATTAAGGTAATGGAAAATGAATTGAAAGAACAGCGCGCCAAAAAGAAGGAGCGAGAGGAGAAAAAGCGTGAAGAACCACATCGTTTGAGCAAACATGCCTTTGAAGAGGAGGAAATCGACATTAATTTGCCGGAAGAAATTGCGGGTAATTTGAGAAACGTTAAACCACAAGGAAGCCTTTTGAGCGATCGATACAAGAGCATGCAGAAACGTAACATTATCGCCACATCCAAGGATCTTGGCTTGCGCAAACGTCGCGAAGTCAAACGATATGTTCGTAATTCACACAAAGAAGAGGTGCCACAACCGGTCAAATCGAAAAAGAAACGAAAGTAAACAGTTATTGGATGATTTTCCAAAACATTTTTCTTTTCTTTTTATAAGAGTTATTCAAATTATTATTATGCAAATAAAACGAAAACACTTATTTCAAAATCACATGTCAAACAGTTTTATTGATTGAAATTATCTTATTCACATATCATTTAAATCCTTTTCGCTGCGGATTGTTTATTTGTATTTTTTTTTCATTTGGTTTCATTTTCTCTACTCACATTCAAACACCCGTTTTTTACAATCGAAATAAAAGAAAAGAAAGAAAAAAAAAACGTTTACTGTCGAAACATTCTTTTACCTACGAAGTGATGTGCGATGTATTATTTTGCTAAATTTCGTGCAATTGTACTAAATTCTTTTACATATAAATGAACATGTCAAAACTGAAAATTATTTATCTTTAATTAGCCACGAATGCAAGTTGTTACGATAAGCATTCATGGCTCTTGCCAGCAACGATACGAAGAAAGGGGAAATTTAATTCTTACTATGTGGTGGCAATTATTTCGTGTGTACATGTGTCTTGGTTATCGCATATTCGCATTGATCACGTACATTTAATCTATAAATGATAAAGTTCGATGTACACAAAATCGTATGTATTACTAAATCGTTTGATGTTTCTTTTTTTTTTCATTCCTGGTTGGAAAAGCTTATAGATGAGATTTGAGCGCTTGTTGCGATCTTTGGCATTGTCTCTTAAATGTGATATTAAATTGTTGTTAATTGCGGTTGAGATTGGTTGATGGTTAGTAAGTCAGTCTTCGACGCATTTGGTATGGATCTAGTTTACTTGAGGAATTTCATTTTCTTCCAAATGTTTGTCTTCGGATCGGTTTCGAAGAGACTGCGCAGCATATATACTTGAATGCTGCCAACGATGCACATGAGAATGATTTGGAATGTCGACCAAGCTCCCACTTTGAAATTATTCTCTTCAGCAAGATTACGGTCTCGAGCTTCACTGGATCGTCGAACATCCAATGCCCGCTGAATGGTATTGAGATTGTCGTGCAACTTGAAAATCGTCTCTTGAATCTCTTGAACCTGGTGCCAAAAAGAGAGAATGGAATTAGAAACAATTTTTAGTATTTTTTATCTTCAAAGGATCAAATGATAAGATATGAATGGCTATGCGTTACCCTTTCTTTAAGTAGTTGATCTGGTTGAGCATTTTCCAAAACGTCTTTGCCCCATTCATCTTCTCGACCGGTTCCGCCCTGCTCTCCATCCCATTCGATGATGAGCTCAAAAAAGACCGTTTTCGTATTGAACGAACTGAACGAGTTGTCGAAACAGAATCGATAGTCACCGTCAATGTTTAAATCCATCCGATGAATGTTATCCGATTTTTTGTACTCCGTAACCATGGGATGTCCATTTGGGTTTTGAAGTTCAAACGATATATCCAAATCACCATGCCCACCATCGATTACTTGGTACTCGAGATCGATTATTTGATTCCTCTGCGCTCGTTCGTAGAAACACTCAATGCCTCCCGGTTCTACGCGTACTGTCAACTCTTTCTGTGAATACACCGCTTCAGTGTTTATGGTTTGTGCAAACATCAAACACGCTAACCAAATGCCCAATCTAATCATATTTCGAAGTTTTTCTCTTGTACGTAACAAGATGAAAAGACACGTAGTCCAAATGAAAAAATATCACAAAACGAATTTAAAAAAAAAATGTCGCCAACTAACAACAACTGTTCTGTTTATCAACGCAATAATATTCCGACTATTTTAATTTCCATACAACGTATGAACTTTCGCTCGTATGGCCCGAGCAACGCGTTGATTGGCTGAACTCAATAGCAATGAATCGACGAATTGGAAATTGAAATGAAACGAAGCAAAGGCAAATAGCGACGAAAACAAACGCACAATTTGCACACTCAAACATTTATTTCAATGAATAATAATTGACACTTTTCGGTTGATTCATGACAGCCGGCGATATAATGCACAGTAGTTACTGTGTTGAATATCGCCGAGGCGAAGATGGCGCCACATGAAAATTGTTTTCATAGCACATAATTCAAAAAGTAAACAAATCCGATTGGCACGACTTTTATTCTGCGGAAAAAAACAAATTCGGCGTATGATCTGATGATTATCTTACGATTCAATTGAGAAGATTCGATTTGCAAAATATTTGTATGTGTTTACATAAGTGCAATGTATGCGACGAAGAAGCATGAATCATTCGAATAAACTAACATTTTGTTGAGACATTCCAATGCAAAGTAAACTATGCCATATTTCACTGGAAATCATGTGAAAATAAATAAAAATCTGGAAAAAATGTGCCGCCTAAGCAAACTTAATATGATTTGTACACTCGACGCATACACATTAGAATACATGTCGTTGCCGTCACCACCGCCACTGTAGCGTTTATGTGTTTAACTGTTAAACGGTGTGTATTGTGGATTTTTGATTTTGACTGTGTCCAAGCACCGCTGACAGCACATTCGCGTTGAGTGCCTCGTTTACTTAGATTCAGTCTATTGTTTTTTTTTTCTGTCGTCGTCGTCGTCGTTTAGTCAAATACACAATTATTTGGATTTGGATTTGGTACGTTGGTGAGAAGGAGCAGCAGAAAAGAGTGAATAGTTGTGAATGTGGCTTGTGAGAGCAAGTTAATGCATTTGGAGCGGGGTGTTGTCGGGTTGGCCGTTATTTTGGTGTTGCTACCGTATGTGATTCTAACCGCTCATAGCAATCGATGGTTTTTATTCAATTGCATCAAGCGGAGAACGAACATTCAACTAGTTGTGGCGATTCGTGTGTATATGATTTTGATTTACCTGTGCTTTCGCTGTATGCAATTTCGCATACACACCGTTCGTTCGTTCGTTCGCTCGCTTGTTCGCGCGCTGCCTCATTTGTGACTGTGTATACATTTTAATTTAATTCTTTTTTCTTCTCCATTAATTTTTTTTCCTCTCCATTACACCGTCACTGTGATTCTTGTTAGTTCGTTTTATCGCATTTTCAATGAAATAATTTGTCGCTCGCTTGGTCGGGCGCGTGCACACACACAAACACATTGTCAACAATTGCAGGCAGGCACCCAATCTAAATCCAAAAAAAAGTGTGTTCATGTGACTAAAACAAATCAAGTATACGTTGTGCTTAGCGCGCTTACGATCGCAAAAATATTCATTTTTAGTTTTGATTAGTTCGCGTGTTGAATCAATCGGATGCGGTCGGACATTTTTTCATTGTTGTTGCTCTCACTCTAGGTGCATCGTGAAATATTGCAAAACGACCGCATAAAATAGGAAAATTGTTTAGGCGAACGTCAAATTTAGACGGAACGTACTTTTTTTTTCTCTTCGTTTGTTTGTTATTTTATTACTCGAGTATAAATGAGGTAATCGAAGTAAAAGACCCGTCGATGATTTGAATGTGAATACAGTTTTTTTTTTGTTTCAAGTGATTTATTACTGTTTAAGCCATCACAAAAAAGGCAAACAGAAATTAAAAAAAAAAGAACAAAATTCAGAAAAGAAAAAGATTGAAAGAAATAGTTGTGGTGAATTTGCATTTTCGAATTTGGTTTGTTAATTAACGAATGAGAAATGTATGCGGTTGCCAAAATGGATGCACAATCTCAACGGTTGCATTTTAACCTCGATCGAAAATTTGCATCCAAAACATGTGGATTTATCACGTTGAAATGATCGTAAGTAGGAAAAAAAAAATGAAACCGTCCACACCTTACACCAGCAGTACGAAACAAAAATGTACCTCGTCATTTGTTGTGTGTTCTTTTATTACATTGTATTTACGTGGCTTGTGACTAAATCTCTATGGGCAAATTAGCTAAATTCCTCTTTAACCCCGCTGTATTTTCATTTAATTTTTTCTTTCATTCAATCTCTCAGTGCTTTTTTCTCTCTCTTCAAATAACTCCAAAATACAAAACATACTTTTGTGGATGTGCGCGACGGTGCACACAAACGTTTCACTTGAATCTTGAATCGAAATCAAATGAACGAATCATGTTCACATACAGACCTAATGCCACCTTTTTTCTCTCTCTCTCCCTCTCCGACTCTGTCTGGCGGCCAGATCATTTCACTTACATGCATCGTTTGCTAAAAATCGAAATTCCATCAAAACATACACACGATCATAGCCAAACGGATGGAGATAAAAGAAACAACAACGAAAAACAGCAACGAAAAACACACATTGCGCACAAAACGCGTAAAAAAGTAACGAGAAATAGTAAAATAAATATGCACAATCACATACTGGTGCATACGGTTCGTCGCAGGTTGAATATTCAAAGAGATAGACAACATGAACCATGCACATTCTTGTTTCGGTTTTCTCTCTTTTTACCGATAAAATGTGAAAAAAAAATTAAACAGCAACAAGTGACACACTTTACCATACCTCATTCAATCGGTCACATGTACTCGTGAGCGTACTCGCGCGCGCACACCGTGCTCAGCAACAGCAGCAGCAGCAGCAGTAGCAGCCGCAACATCAGCAATAAGCGTACAGCGAATGGTGAATTACGAGTATTAGGCATGCTCATTGAGAGCAGAGACATTAGAAACGATTACTCGTAATTATTTACAGATCGCACACACAAAATCCGAATACAAGCCGCTTTTTTACGTAGTTCTTTTTTCCTCCTTGTGTGTGCGTGTGCATTTTTATTTCAAATAATAAACAAATACGATAAACGATTTGCTGGATGCAGCAATTTTTATAATCTCTTTACGAGGATAAACAAGAACTGCAAAAAAAACTGCAACAAAAAAAAAAACTGCAAGCCAATGAAACCATCAGCGATAAAACATTTGAATGTGGACTGAATGAAACCAAAATGACATTTTAAATAAAATGGAATCAGTCGCAGTGCAATTCTCTAGACTAAACAATAAAATTTCAAACTGTTCAACCAAGTTTATTGATTCATTGATTGAGATTATTTCTTCATACTTCCGACTTGGCACTTAGAGTTACGCTATTATGTAATTGATTGTTAAGTTGATGACTGAAGGCTTCCTACTATCGATAGAATTGTTACAATCAGTTGAATTGAATTGATTTTATTGGAGATTTGCGCGTTTTTGTTTTCTATCATTGAAACATGTGTTTCAAGTTTGCTGAGCATCTCAGCATTTCGTAAGGCACGGATATATCCGAGCATATCGACGACGCATACAGTGACGTGCGTTGCTACGCGCAGCCGCAACGACTCGACCGGAATGTGTATGTTGTTGCTGCGTGCAGCCATATCAACTGAACACACTTCGGTCGAGTCGTTGCGGCTGCACGTAGCAACACACGCCACTGTATTATACAGTATGCGTCGTCGATATGCTCGGATATATCCTGCCTTACGAAATGCTGAGATGCTCAGCAATCTTAAAACACATGTTTGCTATCATTCTCCTTTCATTGTTGGCGATAACAAAATTGCATCAATTCACAGCAAATATGAAAATATGGTCACCCATGGAACAAGTCTAGTGTTTGGAGAAATTCTTCACTCCATACAAAGTACGCGGAGGTCAATATTTGCGATATAGAAAAAGTAGCGGATTTTTTTTCAGTGCACTGGCCACTTCAATCGTATCTATTTAACGATGGCAATAAAATTGCGATTGCAAGTCCTAAATAAAATGGCGTTTGACCAAGCGGCTCTCATTATAAAGTAGTTGTAAACGTTTAATAGCTTCGTCCATTGCAATCCGTTACGTTAGCGTAAAGAAGATGCACTTTGATTGTGAACATATCCATCAGTGATGGATTTATGAAAGGGAAATAAAAATAGCAAATCACAATGTAAGTAACGTACACCATCCACGCCGTGCACATTGTGCATCGAATGTGAAGAAGAGGCAAGCGTTTGATGTTATTTGCGCATACATCGTTCGTTTCCTTCAATTTCCCTCATTGCATTCGCCGCTTATGTATACACCAGACCATTTTATCTTTCTCTCTCTCTCTCTCTCTCTCTCTCTTTTATTATCATTTGTTCCGATTGCGAATCGTGATTGTTTGTTTTTTTTCATCGCGCTCATCACTCATTGGTATTGCTCAACAGCAGCATCGGCTCAATTCGAATGGAGAAAATTGAAGATGCCGCTAGAAAATAGAACAATTCAATTTCTCTTTCCAGTTTCTTTTAATGGTTGTGCGAAAAAGAAGGCGAAGAGAAGAAAAAAAGAAGCACATACCGAGTGTTGAATTGGGTATTGTCTCCAATTCAAGATGCAGCTCGTAAAAGTGATTTACCGTGCATGTTGCACTGCACATCGATTTCACGGTGTACTTTCGCGTGTTGCACACTTTTGCAAAAACAAAATTCTATAAATAAAAGCAACCGTCGCACAGACACACACAAAATAATCAATCACATACAATTCAATTGAATGATTCGATTCGAGATTAATTCGGTGAGCGTAGTTTCGAAGAAAAATGAATGATTCAAATGCTTCAACTTAACCAACGTTCTTTTGTTTTTCCGTTCGACAAACGCATGCAAAGCAAAACACATCACAATTTGTCGGTTTGTCTCTTCATTCTGCTTCGTCAACTCCGTTTCGATATGTCTCCAATTTTGTGACTATCCAAATAAGATACAAAACCATTGCAATGTGTAAGACAAAGAAAAAAAAAGACGACGAAATAAACCTGTGCATTCATTCCATCATTTCGTCCGTTGATTGTGTGGCAGTTTTACAGAACAAAATCATAAATAAATAAATATAAAACAAACAAATTGTTACAGCACAGTACAATACACGACAATTTCGGGCTTTATAGAATCACAAGAGAGAATATATATGCTCAAGTGTATCGAAAGATGGAGTGAAGTGAAAGACAGATAAGCAAATACCGAACAAATAAACCATTTTTATATCTGAAATGTATTTAGTGTCTGCGTTCTGTGCCACGATTGTTGTGAAATGTACATGAGCAAAGAGACGTAAATGAGCCCAAATTCGATTGTTTCGTTGGTTAATGCAAATGAAAGACAATAAATTGCGTACATTTTTGTCGCTCTTCGCGTCTTATCTTCATGTCGTCTGCTGTGCCATCCGTCCCTTTCCTCTTGAGTCTCTCTCTCCCTCTGGCTCACACACACACGGACGCACTCAGACACCTCACTCGCTCGTTCGTTCGTTCGCGCACAACGGTGGACAAACAAAAGCAGCACGCCACGAACAATACATTTACTTGTATCGAAGACAACGGAACAAAAGCAACAACAATTGGAATTTTGTATGCACGAATTTATATCGTAATGAAATAGAGACAGTACAAACAAGCGAGTGCGAGAGAAAATAATTAAAAGTGAAATAAACGTAAGTTAAAATTGTAACAGAACAAATCGTTATCGAGCTGTATTTGTCTGTGGTCTTGCTGTAACCGTCCCAAGTGTTGTTGCTCGAATCGGTCGGTGTCGTTGTAAACTTAGAATCGATCACACATATCATCCAACTCTCTTGTGCAGTGTATGTACGGCGTGTGCATGCCTGCGCTGTGTTCTAGTTTTTATCATTTGAAACTGAGATAACCATCTAGCTACCGGTAATTAGAATTTTCACTTCTCTCGTTCGAACGGTCGCGCAACAAAACGATTTGCCACCGCTAATTGTGACATAATTGAAAAAGTTTTTTTTTTTGTTCGGTTTTTGTGCAACGGCATATTTCGATTCGACTTCGTTTTTCTTTTAATTGAAAATTGCATAAGTGATGTGGTGGATTTTAGCGAAAAGCCGAGGATCACGGATCTGATAACACTCAACTAATTGTGATGGTGTGTATTTTTCGTTATTTTCAATTGAAACTGTTTGGTTTGTGGAATTCTATTATTGCCATTGGCTTTCTTCATCGTCGCATAAGCTTTTGAAGAAAAAAACAAATTCGATCATATTTTTGCGCACGTATCAGAAATTGTCGCATATTTCCTCTATTGGAAATGGAATTCTTATGCAATTAAGCTTCATTCTGTCACCACCTCAGTAACGTCTGACCATCCGTGTTGTGTAAAAGCAACTCGCTTACGAAAGGCATAGAATAAACAAATGCAATCCAGCAAAAGAAAAATAGATCGTTACATTTAAAGAAAACGAAACAGGGCGACACGTCGAAATACAAACTGCTGGATTCATAATTCGTTAATAAGCGCGTTATCGAAGCGCTAAATGAAAACCAAAATAAGCACACGAAACAATAAACGTCCGAACAAACAGAAGAGAGAAAGAAAAAATCGTCCAAACCAACAACAACAGCAATAACAACAGCGACATGTTTCTATGTGTTATTCCATGTGTCTATGTAGTTTTGCTTCTGAAACGCTCTCACTCTCTGTCTCTCATTACAACAGCAAAACATTTTTGTTCTTTTTGAGAATAAATTTACAGTACACAACAAAAGGTATTTCCATTTTCTATTATCGGCCGTACCGAATATGTATTTCATTGTTACACTGTTTGATTGTGCTTATTGTTGTACGGTGTGTTTGATTTTGTTGTTGTTTCTTCTTCAATGTTCGATGTATGTAGATTGTTCGTTTTTTTCTTCTTCAATTTCTGTACACGAAGTTCTGAATGTTTTTGAAACAGTTTCTACTGTCTCTCTCTCTCTCTCTCTCTCTCTCTCTTTTTCACTTCTTCCAATGTTAGTATATGGTCTTCGGTTTATATATCTCCTTTTTTGCGCTGTACAATGTGATAATTATCGCTTCAAAAAAAATATTGAATATTTGTGTCGGTGTTGCCGTCACTGTTTTGTCGTCGATACCGCCGTCGTCGTTGTCGCCGTATCCAGTCGCTCGCCATGGCCATCATTATGCGTACGACCAATAATTTAAATTTCAAATTGATGAGTGAACTTACGATTTCAACATTACAAACGATCATTTTACGTTGCTTCGTTTACGCCATTCAGAAAGCGATGTATTGATATTGATTGAACTGCGATTGCACTTTTAATTACAATCACTTCATTCGAAACCATAATATCCACATAAAAAACATGGAAAAAAAGCAAACACACACACACACAAATGAATTGTCATTTGACACTACAATCTGAGCAGAAAAATAAAATGCGCAGCGTTCAAAAGGCGACGGGAATTAATGTTCATCGCTTTTTTCGCATACATTTTTATTCAATTGTATTTGAATCAGGTAAAGTGTGAATTGAAATGTGCGCTTTGAATTCACCGTAGTTATCACCTTTGCGAATATTGTTCGAAATGAAAAAAAAAAAAATAGTGTTGCGCTTCTGCCAACAACTGCAAAGCCGATCAAAGTGCACACACAAAAGCTTCATCGCCTTTTTTCATTCTCTGTTATCTTGAAGTTGATCAAATCACAAAAGCAAGTAAATGCATGTGGCAGCAATACTTGAAACGAAAGAAGTAGAAAAAAAAAGAAGATCGAAACGAAGTTTGCCATGAATTATGCATATTTTGAAATAAATTTTCAAACAAAATTACCGTGCGCCGTGCCGTTTGTGTTATCGACACATTTGCAACTTCAAATAGCAAATATCATGCGAAGAATCGGCAGAAGACGAAAAAAAGTACACACGAAATATCATTAGCACAGCTGCTATTATGTATCAATGTACATCATTATTTAAAAAAAAAAATTCGTTTTTGTTCATATTCGCCTTCGTTCACATTTCATTTTGGCTGAGAGCTGAAGCGCAAAACCATTATGATTGGCCCATTTTTCATCCGGCGATGACATTCGCGCCGAACGCGTATACTGCCTGAATTTTAATCGAGATGGAGAGAGAGAGAGAGAAACTGAGACGTATCAAATGAAAACATGACAAATAGCACATTTTGTGCCATATTTTATTCAGTCACTCGATTTCCAATTCCAATTTCGAATTTTGGCCCCATCTCATCCGAATTGGGAATAGTGTCATCTATGTAAACTATTCAAGAAATTTCCAAGCAATACGTGTACACTGTACACGTACACCGTATTTTTCAGATGTTTTTTTTTTTCTTCGCCTTCTTTCTGTCTTGGTAATTCCCTTCAAATTTTGCCAACAAAAACACAGTTACTGCTATTTCATCGATGATTCAAAGCGCAAAATTCCGTCAATTCCAAGTAAATTTCGTTTTTGAACATTTCTTTTTGTATCTTAGTAAGCTTAGATATTTTTTTTTCTGTTATTTCATTTCAATTAATTGTTGTTACGTGTTTTTCGTTCTATTCATTATTGTTCTTCGTGAGTTTGAAGTTTTTCGCTGTATAAAATGAAAAATAAATTTTGAAAAACAAAAATTTTGAACCATTTTTCCGGTGTACGTGTCCCTTTCAATAAGGTCAGCATCTTTGAAAGATAAAATCGCGCTCAAAATTGTCTATGACGTGCAAATAAATGCACACATAGAAAAGAAATTGAAAACTTTAGCGATAATAATACATGGTCGCAAGGCAAAAGACAAGGAGCGCGCACGCGACAGAGAGAGAAAAAAATCAGGCAGAATCATAAATCATCAATCTCATTTACATAAAATTCATTAAACTGTATAAACAAAACAACCAATTTTTACGTTTACTTTTGTTTTAGCGCACCAACAAAATATAGTTATTTTTTTTTTCTTCTTTATTTTGTTCTTTTTTTGTATGTGTCGTAGTGCTTTCTCTGTGAACTCTGTACGTGTCTATCATATTAAAACCATAAAAAAAAGACAATCAACTGTGCAGTTCAGAACGACTGCACGAACAGAAAGCAAAAAAAAAAACAAAACAAATACAAAGACAATTCGTGTTTTCATTTGTGGACGAGCAAACTGTAATTTTGTAGTAAAGGACATACAAAATCATTTAATATAACTAAAAAAAAGCGTCGTCGACAGACAAAAAAAAGATCTACTTTCGAAATTTTAAAAACAAAACGAATTTAAGACAAAGCCAAAAAAAATTATATATAATGAAAAGTCGCACGAAGCAAGTAACATCAGCGTTGCCACCGGCATCAGCGGGCTCAACGTCTTATCCATCAATTAACTCCACATATTGGTTGCCCACATCTAATCCAACGCCATACGTTCTACCAGGTTTGTGTTGTTCTCTTGTACAAAAACTGAAAAAAAAAAATTAAAAAAAAAACTACTAAATTTGCCATTCTTTCTGTTTGTTGCGTTTTTTTTTAACCATCACATTGATTTTTTTTTTTGACAATTTGATTAATGGCATGACAATTAATTTATAAGTTTTTAATCAAAGCAAATTGTGTTTATCTATTTCACATCCACCAAAACATTGTCTGTTTGTTTTGGTCTATTTCTTCCATTGTTCTTTCTCGTTTTTATTAAGTTCTTATCGCACTAAAATTCGTAAAGTGTTTATCGTTTGTGTACAAAATAAAGCAAAATGTGTCTTCATTTTCGACATAATGTGAATCGGGTGATAATAATTTGTAAAGGGGATTTCTCGTGATAACCACACATACATAAACACATTGTCGATTGTGTAATTTGTACAATACCATGAATCATGTGTATAATTACTATATATATATAGAATATTTTTCGAATGGCTTGCATTTTTCTGTATTGATCTTGTGAATTATTGCACCGCATGCAATTTCCCGATAATAATACTGCACACCGAATACCGTGTGCCCATGTGAGTATGATGAGTAAGCGCATTTCGATCGCGAATTTTTCGCATATCAATCATAAATGATCATGCACGGTTCATCATCAAGTAATTTTACATGAACATCTCAAGGGACTCTGCGTTCAGCATTGTGAATTTGTAAAACCCACATTTTTTTCTTTCACGTTAACTGTTCGGTGTTATACATCTGTGTCGTTGTTCAAGTGAATCGGTACCGAAATATCTTACACGTATGATAATTTTGTTGAAAATTCGTTGTTGTTGTGAAATTGCTCTTCGTGTCAACGAGAGAAAGAGAGCCAGAATGGGCGCGTCAAATGTATCGTGGCTGTGTAATTCGTGAGCGATAAATAAGTGAAAAATATTTAGCGCTAAAGGTTCAAACAATACATGTATAATCGACTTCCCTTGGTAGTGTAGCTCTCTTTTGCAATGTGTTCTGTTTTATTTCTCTCTGTTCGTGGCATTTTGGTTTGTTATTGTTGTTGCTGCTGCTGCTGCTGCTGCTGTTGTGGTTGTTGCTTCCAACAAGTGTTTGAACAGAAGAAAAAATGAAATGAAACGAAATGAAATTCACTTGCATAGACGAGCGAAGAATAAAGATTTAGAAACGTGTAACATGTTTCGAATACGTCGTGCTGACGCAGCACTATATGGAATATGTGCGGTTTGCGAAGGCACGGCGATAATAATAATTCACATCGTTTTGAGCATTACCTAAATGGTGTGTGTGTGTGTGTGTGTGTGTCCGTGTGAGTGTTTGTATGTGTGTTTTCTGTATTGTTGTTGCGATGACTTATGCGGCATGCTAATCGGCTGAACAAACATTGGCCACAACGAATTGGCTGACGAAAACTGAAACTTTTATTTTTTTCGTCAAATTAAAATGCAAAGCGCGTGCGTGTTTGGTTACTCTCTTCGACTTACCTGTTTATGCATTTCGAAAACAAACCTCAATCTCTAGCGATTTCGACGACCGTTTTCACTGTGTGTGCGTGCGCGCGCACTTCATTCGTGAGTTCCGTTTTGATTAAGACCTTTGCGTTGTAATTAGACAATCGAGGCCTTAAAATTTGTTACAAAGAAAACGAAGAAAAAAAAAATTCCGCCAGTAATTTCGATAGTAACTTAATGACTTGTTATCGTGATGCAACTTAATCACAACTTAACCTCTGAATTGCTGATAAACATTTTCGATGCGATGCAATGCAACTTAATTAACTAGCGGCTGCATTGTTTCTATGAGAATCAATGTATGAGCTTTTATGGTTGGGCGCATAAAACAAATTGCAACCTTTTCTTCGAAGCTAAAATTTTAACTTTACTCCAACCGTATCTCTGTTCCAATCAATTTCTTTGATTTGGAACAGCAAATTGACGAATTTTCTAACAATTCGAAGCTTAATTTCTCGCCGTTTCCCTCTTTGTTTTGGTTACTTTGTTCCCAGTTTCAGACATTTTTCTAGGTTCAAGCAATGAGCTCACTCTAACTCGAACGTTTCAAGTGTTAATTATTGCTTCAGCATGAAAACGAAGGTTATTTTGCCGCTTTCAGTGCCCGGTTTATTTGCGAATTTGCGTATTTGGTTTCGTTTTCTAGCAAACACATTGCACTGCACATTGAGGGGTGTTTTTATTTAACGACTGCCAGACCAAACAATCAAACGGCCAAATAAACACTGAATTGCATAATAACGTGCACAGCACAACCGAGTCTCATTATCATATTTGTATTTATTGCCAGTGGTAATGTTCATTGTTCAACGGGAAAACAACCATGTGAAAAATGGCAAAACAATGACTCCTCTCTGAATGCTGCAGGTGCGGGCTAAGTGCAAAAAATACGTTTGACATCATATATTCGCATATATTTCATCAAAATATGAGCCGTCACCATTTCAGCGCATGGTGTTTGTGTCTTTGAGAATCTTTTTAATTAATGCCGCTTTTGATTTGGGCAGTTTTATTTTCCTTTGAAAATAAATACTGCAGCATACATAGTAGGCTTGGAAATTCGAGTCAAACACCATGATTCATTTTTCGAATTCAGCATTCTCATCAGTTTGCGACGAGTTAGTGCAGAGCAGTTTGAAAATCATGAGAAAGGATCGTGAATTTGGTGCAAACGATCGATGTCATTATTCATGTGAGCATGGAAACGATACGTATATCGAAGTCATTTTTCAACGAGTTCAGCAGAAGTCGTCGAGTTGTTTGAGTAAACAGAAAATGGCCAATCAAAATATTATGATTTATCTGACTGCAATGTTTATGTCAACGTTCGCGTCGTGCAATGAACGGCGATGTCGATATTTGTTGATGCAATTATTATGTTATTCGAGCTAGCCGTGGCACTGTACTTTCTGAAATCATAACAATCATAAAAAAATCGTATAAAATCGGCTGTTACCCATTGAGTCATTTTCAGATTCGTTCTGACTTTGCGTTGAAACACAACGATTATTAATCGACGATCAGAAATCAATTTCAATTGAACTCAAGTTGAAATAAAACAGTTAGATAAATTCAACCGGGAAAGAACGCCAAACGATTTTCAACGAACAACGCCGGAACACGATGGACCGGAACAAAAATTCGCCCAGAGATTGTGTTTATTCGCGTCGCACCAGCTATTCAAACTACGCGAAAAAGAATCCCGACTTCTTCTCGTCCAAACGAATGATTTGCGATTGCAAGATGGAGTTTCTGGATGCCGGAGCCTTCGAAAAGCACATGAAAAGCAAGCATCCTGATAAGAGCTCAGCCTAACAAATTCAATTTCAATTTCGATTCAAATGATGTTGATAAGAAAAACATTCAATAAAATTGTGTGATTCAATTTTGTTCCGCTGAAACGAAAGAAAAAATTGTGCATTTTGTTTTTATTGTTTTTATTCTGGTCCAAAGACTCTGAAACGCAAATAGCGCATTTTCCACTCTATTTCAGTCGCGATTTGCCGTTCATGCTCGACGTGCAGAACAAATTTATTCGAGATAGGAAAAGAAAAAGGTCGTAAATTTCGCTGAAAATGGTACCAATCAAATTGTGATAAGTAGTTTGTTTGGTATTTGCGCGAGCAGATTTTTTACATTTGCGCATTTTTTCGAACGAAATTGCAATCGGTTTTTGTGGCAATTGGAAATTTGGATGCATGCGATCAGCAGTTTGTTTGTCACAAAGATGCAGCCGTTAGGTTTGATTTGCAAAAAAAGAAAAAAAAAAACATATACAAAGTAACTCGATGAGGAATTTCATTTGAATGCAATTGCCGTTATTTTTAGCCATTTTAATTCGGATGACACAAAAAGAATGTTTGATTCTCTTCACTAAATTTGAGTTCGATACTTTGTTTTTGGTTTCTTGCCTTCGATCAAATCTCAAAATAGAACGTAACGACAGTGACTTTTCACACTAGGCTCGTTTAATTTGAATCGTCTTAATCGATGTGATTTATGTTTGTTTGCTTTCTTTTTCTCTCCCTCTTTTATTTTTCCCGCAGAGCGAAAACTGTTCGTTGGTATGCTCAGCAAGAAATACAATGAACAGGAGGTGCGACAACTTTTTGCTGGCTATGGGTCTATCGAAGAATGTACGGTGCTACGTGATCAGAATGGTCAAAGCAAAGGCTGTGCTTTTGTTACATTTTCGACAAAACAAAGCGCGCTGGCCGCCATAAAAGTACGTCTCGTCATTTTCGCAAATATTTATTTTGCTTCTTTTTTCTTCGTTGTTAGTTAATCCAAAATTTATTCTTTTGTTGTTTTGCTAACCAGGGATTAAACCAAAATCAAACGATGGAAGGGTGCTCAGCTCCTCTGGTTGTGAAATTTGCCGATACGCAAAAAGAAAAGGAACAGAAAAAAGTGCAACAGATGCAAGCGGCAATATTGTCAACAATTAAAAGTACGGGCACACCATCAACGGGATCGAGTGATTCAATCACTACATTGACTGGTGCCAACGGAAGTGTAGCCACCGCAGCTAGTCTTCCCCTTAATTTTGGTTTAAGCAGTTCAGGTAAATCACGAGAAAATCTAACGGAGCAGAAAAAGAACAATGAAAAAAGAAAAAAGAAAATAAAAAGAGCTTAGAATGAAACTCGAGTCTAGAGCGTAAGCGAACCGTCGTAAAATTGCTGCTTATACAAATTATCGCAAAATTCCACTTTTTCTCTTTAGTACAAGCAAATGGTTTAGTCACAGTGCCAAATGCAACCGCATTAACATCGAATTCATCGCTTATAACGAACCCACCTCAATCGTGTAATCCCTTCATCGGTGCTGATGCCTTGTCTACATCATCGTTACAATTTTTGCAGCAGATGCAAGCGGTCGGACTGCAACAGCAGCTTCTTCAAGGTATTTTATAGAAATAAATATAACATGTAAATGACTGCCTCTACTAATCCGAAACTATTTGCCATCGTTCTAGGAATTAATAGTGCTCAGTTGGATGCGTCGAACAACAGTGCAATGTCAACAGGTTCAACGGCAACACATGCCAGTTTGTTGCAACCATTTTCGATGCAAAATCTCCTCGCAATGGCATGCATGGGCCAATCACCGCTAAGCCCAAATGCGTCCAGTCAATCACTTTCTAGCGCTCAACTTGGCCCAACCACAACACCTCTATGTACGTTCAATACATTTTTATGTTGTGCATAACAATTCTTTCTCCTGTCGCAAGCCAATTCAAGAACTTTTTTTCTTCATATAAGAATCAATAACAATGCATTTGATAATATTTCTAGGGTCAGTACAAGATTATACTACTACTGCATTGCCTCAATACACCAGTGGATTGTACGCTCCATCGCTAACCACGGCGAATGCTCTGAATACGACTGCATCACTTGTTGCCGGAAAGCAAATTGAAGGTAAACTAAAACCACTATTTATGAATGCAACTAGAACCTGCCTTTAAATGAGTCGTTGAATTTTTTTTTTGCCACAGGTCCCGATGGTGGAAATCTCTTCATTTACCATTTGCCACAAGAGTTCACCGATCGAGATTTGGCCATCACATTCTTACCGTTCGGCAATGTCATATCGGCCAAAGTGTTCATCGATAAGCAAACCAACCTGTCGAAATGTTTTGGTTTTGTGTCATTCGACAATGCGACCTCAGCTCAATCGGCCATTCAAGCGATGCATGGATTTCAAATCGGATCAAAAAGACTAAAAGTACAACTGAAGCGTTCGAAAGATGCAGCCAAGCCATACTAATACCATCAATTGATCGATAAGTTATTTTTTGAAGGGAAGAAAAAATTCAAACAAAAAAACAACCGAATCTCACGAATCTTGTAACGCAGTGCTTAAAAATAGGTGTGTGTATGTGTGTTGTTGCATTAGAAATGTAAGTTTTTGAATTCATAAAGTGAATCATATGAAGACGAATCGATGAATGTTATTTGTTTTAAACTACTGGCCACTAACTTGATTGAAACAAGTCTTAAACAGCAAACCCGATAAAGTAAATCATAGCTAAAATTAAGTCAAAACCATGATCTTTTTGTAGACTTTAATGACACATTTAGACAGTTTTCATCGCTTTGACGAAATGAAATGGATTTTTAGAAGAGAAAAGTAGAGAAAAAGAGACACAATTCAATTGTGTGAAATTCGTACCTAAAATCATACCAAATAGACGTATTAGTTTAATGTATCACACTGTTGTAATATCGCAGTCACACTTGATAGACAGAAAAAAAAACACGATAAGAAATCAATTAAATTTTGAAATTACCCATGTGTAGTCATTAAACTGTTGTTGAAAATGACGCTAATAAATGTCTTAGTAATGAAGCAATTGGTTTTTTTGTCCTCCGCTGGAAATGGACGTGAATTGATTTGCCGTACTTGAGAAAGTTGCAGAACAATAGCTGTTTTTGACATCAACAAGGTAATAATCTACATGGGATAAGAGAAAGTATCGAACAACACGGCGACAAAACGGCAACGGACACAATCAGCGAATATTGCACGTGTGTGCGCTATCAATCAGCACCAGGAAGTTTGCACAACGAATGTTGAATGCATGGGCATGCAAAAAAAAATTCACACTTCCAACAAATTACTTACCTTCTTCTAATCGATATATACTTGTGAAATGCGGGGCGTCGTTATCAAAGAGACAATGTCTTTTTTGGGTTTTTATTTGTATTGATATTTATGTTGTCGCTTTCGGATAATTTTTAATTAAGATTAAATTTTAAATTTATATCACTTAAATCGCTAAAACTATAAAACAAAAGAAACTTAGCTTGAAATCTGGGTTTTTTTTATTCTCTCTTTAGATTTTTTTTCTTCATCTTTTTCAGCATCTCCTTCGGAAACATGATTAAAATGATTGTTGAAAATTGGTTAGTGTCTGATCGTGCATGGGTTGATTTGTCTTCGATTGGTTTATGTTTGTGTTAGAAACTCACTGGTTTGAGAAGGATGATGACAATCAATGTAAATTGGTAAAAATTGTATTAATCATCTTAAAATTAGCGGTGTTTGTTATACTAGTCTCTTTCGTCAGAACGTTTTGCTTCTATTGTTAATTTTACTTTAGTTTTACTCATAATTTCAACCCGAAACTTGTAAAGTTTTGCTTCTCTATTCTGTTTTCGGTGCCTAAAACACTCAAAGCTGACTCAATGGTTTCCATTTTTGTGGATAATAATTATAATTATTGATTGGTTGGGCGGTGAACTCTCTGCCCTAGAGCGCACTCTATGTAACTAATTTTTTTTTTTTGCTTATGGATCATTGCATGAAAATCCAAAATGTCTAAAAATCACTAAACAGATTCTGTGTTCTTCAAGAAAATTGTACGCTGACAGGGAAAAAAATGCATGGAAATTCCATGTTGGAATCAAAATTAAATGGCGTTTGCAACAAAAGCATTGAATCTATATATTTTTTTTCATTCTCTCCCGGCTGGTTAGTTTCGGTAAGTTGAGCTAAAATCTCTACAGATAAGTGACAACATTTAGAATAATAAAAATCTGTGTTCACCCATTTAAATTATTTGCTTTCATTTTTTGTTTAGAATTAAAACTGGTTTTAAAACTCTCTATAATTCGAAATTGTCTGGTGCGATTCAATGACATTTGGTTGTCTTTATTTTCGAATGTAAACGGATTTAAAAATGTATTATGATTTTTCGAGAAAATTTAGATTTTATTTTTACAATTATTAGCTGCTGAAATTTATATTTATCGATTTCGGTTCACGTATAAAATTTTGAACATTGAACACCCAAAAGTTTTAAACGAATTCAAATGAAAAATTATCGAAAATGTTTTATTTAAAATTTGGAAAAGAGTTTTGTAATTTCATCACTATTGCTATTTAACTTGTCGTATTTCTATCTCAAACGTCGCATTGCTGCTATATTTGTACCATCTAAATCGAACAGGTTTACTATTTTATGCATTTCTGGCTCTATTTCAAAAATACTCCTCTATTTTAATTGGTGGATTTTGTTGTTATTGTTTTATCGGTTTTCGATTCATCGTTTTGATTTAAATTGTGAACTCTTTCGCTTTGCTATTTACAATAGAAATATAATGGTATTTTCTATCATGTTTTTATTTTATTTTTTGCTCATCTCTTTTCTTCCTTTCTTCATCTTTCTTGTACTATCTGTTTAATGAGGTTACTATGGTTACTTTGTTAAATATTATTTTGCTCTTTGTGTTTGCATTCATATTGTATTGTTCATATTACAACTAAATTTCAACAGTGAAGATTTCTGTAACAATATTCAACGTTAATATTCGGCGTTTAAAAACGAAAGTGTTCTACGGTGTGTTATTCTCTTCTTTTTTTGTCTTTGCTATTTTCATTTTTCTATTATCTTCGTAAAATAGTTTTGTAGATAAGAATGTTAATTGTTAGTTGATAGAATCGTTGGTGCGTGTTATTTCCGGTGTTTAAAATGGATTTGTTTTGGCGATATTTGTGGGGATCGGCAACATCGCGTAATTTTTTTGGCAATTTCCTTTTGTTTACATGATTGGTAATTGAGGATTTCATTTTGCAACTTGCACTTTTTTTTAGACCATTTTTAAACATAAAAAATATTTCTTTGTGGAGATTTGTTTTCATTTTCAATATATACTCTCTGATGCATTTTCTAACATTAACTTTCTCAAAATACTCTTTGCATGCCTAACAATTGCTAGCTAAACACTCATACAATCTTCAATAAAATATTTTCTCTCTGTGTGTTGCCGCATAAAAAAATAATAATCTCAACATCCTTTTAAGCAAATCTAACAACATCAATCTTTAGTTTTATCCGTCTTACTTTGACCTACTCATTTCAATATCAAATCGTTTGAGCTTCTTCTACATTCAAAGCTTGTCTTAATGAATCTCATTAAATTCCAAATAGTATATTCATATCTATTCGATAGATTTTCCTTTCTCTTGTTAGCACAAGTATAAAAATTGCTTGATCGTTCCATGAAAAATATAATATACAACAAATCTTTTGCAAAGATATTCGTTTAAAATGGTTGACGATACAAATAAAGTTGTTTTTGTTTTTTCTTTTGAAAATAATTTGAATTGAATCTTTTCCATTTCATTTTGAAATAAACAAGACGATTCCCACTCAAATTCAATGCGTATACAAAATTGCGACAGCAATTTATCTTTCATTTCGTTGAGATCAAATTTTGAATGCGGCTACGATGGTGTCAAGCTGATTTCATTTTTATCATTTATTTTTCAGTTTTAGAAACTTTTCTTTGCCATTTATTGCCTGATATGTAAATAAAACCATACGTTTTTTATTCGGTAAAAATTTTTCGGTTGGAGCGCCAAATTTTAATTTGTTAAAATATTTCCCATTTTTCACTGGTTCCGTTCGAATAGTTTCGAAAATAAAATTATTGTTTTTTTTTTTTTTAAATCGCAATTTTTTTCTCTCTTTTCGTTTCAAATCGTTTTCATTCTGAAGAAAACACGAAATGGGTAAAAATAATAATAAAGTACAATGATTTACAAAAAAAAAGAGAAAAAAGATAAAACGTTTGGATGTAGGAACCGATGATTGCTTAGGAATATAATATCATATTATAAATACATATATAAGTAATAAAATGTAATTGAAGGTTTAATGATTTTTCCTCTCTTTTCTTTCTCTCGTGCGTTTCTCCTGATTTTTCACTTGTATTCGATTCATAAAAGATTGATTAGTTTGATGCGGTGTTGCATTTCTTTGATTGTTAAACCCGTGTTGGTTTTCTTCATTATTTTTTCTCTCCCGTTCTATTTCTTTGTTACACAAAAAAACGCAACGTAATTTGATTACGCGTTCCTTTTCTTCTGTCACTCGGTCGGTCTATTGGCATGGATCATGGTAAACTGGTTAAAATTGATTGCATTGACAATTGCTGGTATTGTTAATAGGTTCGGTTAAAATTGCTACAAATCTGAATGAATATTCTGGGCGGTTTGCAAACTCGTACATCTATTTATCTACTTGTACTCAGGTTGTGCATTCTGCGTTCCATTTTTTTTTTAGTTTTTTATGTGTGTATGTGTGTTGTGTTGCGTGTGTCAATATGATTTTGGATGTATATCAAAACCGTCGCATGATTTCGCTTAGATAGCATTTTTATAAATTAGTTGGTTTAGACGATTACTGTTTCGATGCTATTTGGATACGGATTCGAGCATTTCAACGAACAACTTCTTCATGTTGATGTTTCCGCTGCGATACACATCGATCCAGAATTTTCGCACAATGTGCTCGGCTTGTCGAATCGACGGCATTATAAGCATTAAATGCTGTTGTTGAGACACGGCTCCGTTTTGCCTATGGAATGTATGATCGAAAAAATGATTAGTTACGGTTTTTTTAAAAATTGCAATCTCTCTCCTGACGAGAGAAAGATTTAAATGCGGATACGGTTGATGGTTCTTCTAGATAGAAAATGGAAAGTACCTCAGCAAATAGACACATTCATTGAATGAATTCAAAATGGAATCACGAAATTTGATCAGTGCCGTCGGATTATCTAGCATTTTTTCACAATTCGATAGAACCAGTGCCTTTAGCAGGAAATACTCTTCTTTCCTCGGCGACAAACGTTCCAATTGCTGGGCAATTTGACCGCACTGAAAACGAAACAAAGACAAAATTGAATTAAAAAATCGAATACAATGAAAATCCGATCAAAGAATAAAATAACGAATTTCTTACATGAGTGAACAATTCGATGGCACCGCATGCTTTAGCTGTTCGTTCATCGAGCCAAAAATCCTTGGCGAATACCAATTTTCCGGAAAATGGTATCGAACGATAGGCCAATTGAAGTGTTAGCAGCTCAGCCCATGTCATCTGTAGCAGTTTCATTTGATCGTTTAGTGGAAGTTCAACGAATCCTGTATCCGAATAAAGAGAAGTTACTCGAAACCGTTCACAATGATTCCGTTTAAAGAGTTAACGTACCTGGAATTTGTTTGGCCCAGCCGATCACACTAACTAATTCTCTATCGTAAATATCACTTAAAACACTGAGCATATCCTGAACGTCAGTTTCGATGCGATGCTCCATGTCCATAAATATATCACTTTTGTCGTCGGTATCTTTCTCATTGGAACTGCCGCAATCGCTACTGTTGCTGCCGGTACTGATGTTATCCCGCGATAAGTTCTTGTTATACATGAGCTCAATGCTTGGATGAACGACAGTCAACAGTTCGGGCTCGCAAATTGTAAGGACCTCCAAAATTTTGATATCTTCCAATGAATTTGGTGGCATGCTGCTGTTCGATGGAAAAATCTGCATTTGATATGGATTTGCGTTCGGATTGCGACGATACTTTTGCCTACCGCCACGAACACGATCCAAACGAACACCTTCTTTCAACATGCCCATCAATAAGCACTTTTGGAACCGACACGCCTGACATGCCTTGCGACGACGCTTATTTATCTCACACTCCTAAATTTGGTGCGAAAATAATTGAAGAGATGGGATGAATAAGTGGTAATTTACATATTTTCCAATATTCATAGAAGAAAAGTTTTAAATAAAATTTACCTGGCTAGCTGGGCACGTATATTCTAAAGAATGATAAGTGAGAAGAAAAAAAGTTAGAAAAAAGGGATAATAAAAAGATTGTAAGTAAAAAAAAGGCACCAAAAATACCTATGTTTCCCTGGATTGTTCGCTTGAAAAATGCTTTGCACGCCTCACAACTGGCGACTCCATAGTGAAAACCGGAAGCCACATCACCACACACGAGACAAAGACGACGCGGTACGTCTTCTTTGTTGGAATCATTTTGATCCGGACACACCGGGAACTTTTCGTCGCCCAACGGTGTGGTCGAACTACAGAACTGGCGTTCCGGTGATGCTGGCGAATTCTTATTCGTATTGTTATTGATGGGTGTACATTTGAAATCCATCTCGATCTGTGAATAAAAATCAAAGTGCATTAGCATGCTTGTTTCCAAAATCTGTTTTTCTTTTTCAAAAGCAAAAGCTCTTACCGTATTTGCTGAAGTTGAATTATTGAATATGAAACCTTGTGCAGTGAAATTGCCGTTTGATGGCGACGGACTACAGCATGTAGTATCGATTTCTTGCTTTATGTGAGCATGTGTCGGAGTCTCTGCCATCATTGGAATCTGAAATGAGGCAAAAATAGACGTAAAAAATTAGTACATAAAAATGATAATCGCTGTTTTCTGCACGACAGACAGATTTATTGAGGGAAAATTGAGCAAAAAAAAAAAAAAGAAAGTACACGCGATGTTAAAAATAGCTCGCCAATAAATAATTTAAAAGAGATAGAAAACGACACACAAATCAATTCTTTCAAAATATTCAGTCGTGAGCCATCAAATTCACATATATGACAGTGGAACAATTCTTTAAAATTCAATTCGATAAATAATTCGGTGGCTAGCACGATTTTACGTTGAACCACATACACAATCGTTCCTCTTGTTGTTGTGCTTTAAACTTGCAGCGCAGGAGAGTAAAGCGAAACGACGCGAACAGAAAAAAATTGGTTGTAATTTCTTTTTACGCAACAAACATTCGTTCTTTACAATCGACTGCATAAATGTGTTAGCCGGCCAAAAATCGCCAATTCAGAAATAAACAGAAAAAGAAAGAACAAAAGCCGTGAAAAGCGAAAATAAAATGTAAAGAAGAATGAATCGAAAAAGAGAATTGCACACAAACGCTCACTCATCACACACACTCAGCGAGAGAGTCAGGAAAGTAGTCGTCCGAACGAAAATGAAGGCGAAACGATAAAGTGAAAATACGGCGGAACGATGGAATAAAAAACGAATCCACCGAGAGAAAAAAAGAACGGCGAAGAGAAAGAAACAAGAATCACATTCATCCATACACAATCGCATGCATTTCAAGCCAAATTCTTATGTGTGTGAGTGCGCGTATTCTTTCGATTCGTGGCCAAGTTCAAGGTGAACCGGTCTGTGTATTTTTCACACAGAAAAAACACAGCCACTTTTATGTGTAATAAATATATACGAGAATCCACGATAAATAAACATTCACGCACGGACAACTTACGAGCAAGCGATAGAGAGAACAACGATAGGCGGCGGAGTGAGACGGACACAGCGTGCGCCGTGTGATGTGATATGATCACACAACCATAGCGTAAATAAATATGTAAATGTGTGTTTTAATTTTTCATTTAAAACTTTATTTAGAGTTTGTGTGTTTCGGGCCATTCTATATACGCTCTCAAACACCACAGTGGCAAACTCAACACACACACACACACACACATTATTGGCTGTGTATGAGTGGGGTTTTCTACATTTGGATTTAGTTTCGTTGCGCGCATTCCCATGCTGTAATTTTACATAATAGTTTTGTGCGATTTTCTGCTATTTGTCTTGCCTCTTTCTTTGCTTGTCGAGCTGCATACGCTCAAAATGCGATTTATCATCTGTCTTTTCGTATATATTTAAAAAAAAAAATTAAATTGAACATTTTGTATTTCGTTCTAATGTACGCATATAAAAAATTTCATGCAGTTTTATTAAAAAATGACTAATGCCCATACATTTGTGTAGTTTCCCCGCCTTTACACATAGAATGGACGAAAAAAAAAAACAGAACAAGACAGAGCTGAATATTTTTTACGAAATTTTTTTTTTCGCTCGAATTGCGAGCGATATTTTTAACGACGCGTCGTGTTTATGTTGCGTCGTAAAAAAATACGCGATGCACTTTCGACTCGAAAAAATTTGAAAGTAAAATGCATTGTGTTCTGATTAATACAAATGATTCGGAGAAAGAATAAAACCAAATAAAAAGTGGTGTGGCCGGTCGGTCGGTTGGTGCTACGCAATTCGCTCGGCGACACCGCGATAATGAATGTTGATAGTCTGTCGCAAAACAAAAAGTTGTGTCGAAACCACACACGAAATAATTCTTTATTATTCTCTGTCCATAACTCATATTATTGTTATTAAATTTATCACTCGTTCGCTCGCTTTCAGCTAATTTATTTGTTCATTTGCCAACAGAACCGACGCTATTAAGTCACTGGACAATGCAGATTGCTATTTTTGGGCGCGAAGCTAAAACGTCGCAACGAGCTGCAAATTGGTGCAGTCCAATATCAACGGATGTTCAACGAGATTCCTTCGCCGCGTTTGCATTTTTGCTGTTTGTTCCATTTGCTTTCTTTTGCTGCGGCTTTTAGCGAAGAAACATCGTTAAAATTCATAGTCAAATAGCATTTCGTCGTTAACTGGATACGAGAAAACGCAGCACCAAATTATCGTCGGCATACGAGAAGAAAAGAAAACGCAAGCAAACATGGCAAAAAATCGTAAATCGTTAGATGTAGAAAACGAAAGAGAGAATACAGAGATACGAATTGTTTGAAAGTCGTGTTTTTTTTTTATTCGTTCTTTTTCTCTGCTGTTTGTTTCTTCTTTTTTCCTTTGCACCGGAACTGGCGATATAGTTTACATTGCGAACACAGCTGGTCCATAACATGTTCTTAATTGCAGCGCAGCACAGCACAAGCAGAAAGCCGGAGACATGAACGACGATTGCAAGCGCACAATTTTCTGCGTGACATTGAGAAATTACGACAGGAGCTCGGTTAGTTTTACTAATAACAACGCGATTGCACACCGACAAAGTTTTGCAATATTTAGTCAAATTTGACTTGGAATCAAATTACGCAAGTAATTTTATCCCTTTGAATCGAAAGTTTACCTACACTACAATCACGGTACTTTTTTTGTGAAAAGTTTTCGAAGAAGTAAAAAGTTTTTTTTTCTGTTATAATTTCCAGAATCACTAAATCTGTCTCGCCTTGATTTATTTCGCATTCAACGCTTGCAACGTCCTCTTTTTTTGCGGTGCAAGTTCATTTCTAGGCATTGCAAAGCCGTGAAGTTTGAATCCACGAACACATAAAAATGATTAATTTACTTTTAAAAACCCCCCTCGACATGTTTACAATGTAGATAGTTTTATGTGCGAGCACCATCATAAAAACCGAAATGCCAAATCCCATGCAATCATCGCACCAAGAGACAGAGTGAGACAGCGATCTCACTCACACCGAGCGACAATAACATCATTAGACAAACCACAACATAAAAGGTTTCGTTTATGCAAATATTCTCTGGTAAAACATCCGCGCGCAAAAAATACTATGTAATAGCTTTCAATTGAAAAGAGAAGAACGGGCCGAGTTCCAACAAGCACACGATATTTTTGTCTTCGGTGCTGACAGTCCGAAAACGAACAGATACAGAATGGTTCAGCAAATATTAAAAAGAGATTTAAATTCGAATTTAATGAATTGATGAATGACTGGCTATAAAATGATCGATGACAGCGACAGAAAAAAAAATTATTATGGCCAACTCTTTGTATGCTATGTTTTTATTTAGATTTCATCGCAATTTCATTGGCAAGAAAGAAACCGAAGAGAAAAAAAAAACAATCTGCTTTCCGAGAATGATTTCGAGCGAATGAATGGCTCATGAAATCCAGGCATCCCGGCATTTGAAAACAACAACAAAACGAGTGTTGTTAAAATGATCATTGAAAGCCATTCATTCAGCCAAATGTGAAAAGATCTAGCAAGTGTCATTTCGAGTAAGAGCGCGAATTTGTTCTTGAGAAGCGATTAACATTCGCAGAGCTCTCATGTGTGTACTCAAGCACACAATTAAAAAGAACAAAAATGAAATGTGGAAAATCTTCGTGCGTCAATTCATCTGGCTTGCGGCGAATTTCATTGGAATTCGGCTTAATTTGTAGGCTAGTAAAATAGAAACTAATGCGAATATTAATTTCATCGTTTTTCATCTCTTTCTCTCTCTCTCTCTCTCTCTGTGTGTGTGTCTATCTCTTGCTATTGCGAGTTGGCAACTGCGTTTATCTAATGGCCGAGGTGATTTCGTGCGCTTGAGCTATTTAAGTAAAACCAAGAGTGAATCCACAATGAAAGACAGATGATGAAATGGCCGATAAAAGAACTGAACTGTCAGTCAAACAAGACGGAAAGCAATCGCATGGAAGAACGAAAAGAAACGGCACGCAGCAAACGAAGCGAAATTAAAATTCTCGTTGCCTGGCGAACAGAAGAGAAATACAACAAAATAACGAAACCAAACCACACGAAACGCAAATGGTAAAGAAAAACGCAAAGTGGATCGTATGTTTGGCGGGTGATGAATGATGTAATCGAAATGCATATGCCATATTTATGTGAAGAATTCAAGGTCAATATTGAAACTAATCGCTCAAAGAATATAGAACGCTGAATCAAAAAGAAAAATCGACATAAACTAGAAGAGCACTCGAACCGAAATGGAACAGAGAGCGGTGTGTAACGATACTGCGAACAAAATGTTGTGTCCGTTTCTGCCTCGGCACATACAACATTGCGTTTAGTCTGACAGTGATGATCCTAATGGCGTGCACACTTCGCGCATTTTAATTGAAAAATGGTATCGTCATGCGAATACGTCATTATCGCGTCTCTCGTAAATTCTAAGATACTCGCACTTAAAAAAAAAAACATTTTCCACTGAAATTTGCATCGCACAACGATTAACCTCAGCAGAATCGTACTTAAGAAGGCGTCGTTTCTATTTCGAGTATGCAAAAAAAGCAACAAATCTTATGCAAATATTTTGATGGCAGCATCTTTAGTTTTTTCTGTTCTTTTATTATCGTCAAACTTTGTCTGACGTGTGCGATTCCAGCGTCGTGGACGACGACGATGATCTGCTGATAAGGATATTACATTGTATCTTCAATTCGTAGGCAGATGATTTATTAAACGTCACAATAGATTTAGATAAGCTCATCGTTTGGTTTATGGAAAAGACGGAAATTTTTCGTCTCAAATAGTTAGTTGAATTGAAAGGTGTCATAATTGTGTGAGTTGTTGTGTCAACAAAAAGAATATACTTTTTTCTCTCTTTCCCTCACAACGAACTATTGTTTGCTATCTCACACACTGTGGCCACCGCCATCGGGTTATCATTGCACATTTCGTAGAAAATATGTGTGTGCACACTGCACACTGCACACTGCACATACCCGTATTGCGTCTTCATTTTTATTTTCTGCTTATTGATGCAGAAATGCCGTACTGCAATTTTTTTTGCACTCGCACGTTCCTTTCTCCTCGGTCTTCTGCGCTTGGGACAGCATTTTTTCATCTCTGTTTTGATTTGTGTTGAACTGCTTTGAAAAATGAAAAGTGTTTGCATTTTGCGTGCTGTGTGTTTATGTTACTCGTACGTCGCAATTTACGTAATGCAATGCGTCACTGTAGAGGCTTGGTAAACACATTTGTATCGTAATATTTATATTTCATCATATCGCTTGCATCAAAAATCGCTGCCATTGCTTCTAGTTTCAATGAACCTCTCTCCGCCGCGCAATTCATTGAATCATATTAATCAAAATCTATTTATTTTGACTCTGTCTCTCTCACTCGCTCGGAAATTTATTATTTTGCCACTGATAACATGGGGTTCTAACGCCGTTGTTTAATCTGTAAATGCAAAACGTTTTCTACTACAAACATGTTTCCCCTGCTCAGGGGTCATCAGAGCTGTTGAGTGAAACGCGGAAGTTGAAAAATTGCATTTTTAGCCGTTTTCGAAATATATGGTGTTTGTTTGAGAAGAATTATCTGCCGGGATTTTCAATGTATGTAAATGTGTTCCAGTTTCATTTTTTTTCCTTACTTAGTGCATTTGCACGGACGCGAGTACGTGTGATCTCTGGCTTTGAAACAAGTATATATTATCGGATCAGTGATATGTGTGATGCAAGTAACTTTCGCGTAATAAATAAGCGTCCGCTTTTTCAATTGAAATTTTACATTTTTTTTCTCTTTTTTTCCGTACTCGTTCTAAATGGAGCCGAAAAAAACTCACTCGATTGCATTAAATGAATTTAATTTGTTACATTTGATCGGATTAGTTCAAATGGTAACAGTTTTATGTGTTACCATTTGCACTTGGCAACGACGGAAAAAAAGGGCGACGCAAACACTATCAACGAAGACGATCCGTTTTTAGAACGTTTCCATCGAAGCGTGCAACGATAAACCCAGTCAAGATGGAACTAAATCCAAATCAATGGCAAATGCACCATCGATAAAGACAGAAAAACATACAAATTGATCGCTTAAGCGGAACCGAATCGAACATTTGAACATTTTTAGCTAATATAATGCAGCGAATGCAGAGCGCACACTTTCAACAGATTGCATGAATGCAAGCAATAACAATAAATGAATTGATTTTTGTCGATTTCTGGCGTGTAGTCGAGAGAGTGCTGACTGCACCCATTGTTTTCTTGTCAACCGCACAAAATGCGGTGCAAAGGCAACGCGTAGCTACAAGCAACCAGAGAGAGAGAGAGAGATAACATGAACCAGACAAATATTCATGGAGCAATTGCTGATGCGCCTGTTGTCATTTGCTCAGATTAGATAATAAAAAGCATCGCTTGATACAAAAAGTCGTGTGTGCGCCAGTCCAATTTAGCCGAATGCAATCAGAATGCCTTTACATTCGAATTCAATTCTGTCGAAGATACGCTGTGCATATACTCACACACTCACACCGACTCATTTTTATCGTCGCACAAATTGCACGGATTTTTACTTAAAATAGACACACCGAGCGAAGCGAGCAGATGAATAATTTCACAATACATTTGAACAGTGCATCCATACCGACAGCACACAACTATTCGTCGTTCGATTCGTCTGTGTGTGTATGCACCGAATGTGGAACAACAACAACGAAAAAAAGAGCAAAGAGCGATTAAGATCCATAAATTTCATCGATAAAAACGTAAGCAAGATGGACAGATGAGAATTAATTGAATATGAAACAGTTCAATTGCTGATAAAAAAAAAACTAAAGATTATTATAAATTATTATAAGGGCGACTTAATCCTGGTTGCATTGTAAAAGCATTGAATCGAACGATTTTGAAACGCTCGCTCGCTCGCCTGCCACACCGACAGAGACGATAGATCAAGAATAATACAACAACAAATGCATCACCGAATCGAATTAGATCGTTGTGACCATGAACTTGATAATCGTTTAAAAAAAAAATTTTGTGCTGTTGCTGCTTGCCGAGAGAGTATTTATATTTTGTATATTTTGTCACCGTGCTGCATTCACTGTGCTTCAATATACAATATCTCATGTGAATCGTTGTTTGATTTACGTATGATATATCATGCAGTTTAGCCGCTCTGCTTTTTTATTGCAGCTTTCGACTTGTGGATTTGATTACATTGTCTCCCTTTGATTCCGTGAATTCAGTGTTGTTTTTTTTTTTCGCTTTCTGATTAATTACTGATAATTCCGATTTATTTCGTCGTTGCGATTTATTTTTTGACTGATTTCAACACAATTCTTAATTTTAGGTATTTTATTTTTTGCTAAAAAAAAAAAATTATTGAGAAAGGCCTGGGCCGGTCGAGGTTTATATTCAATTAATCGCCATAAATTATGGTGACGGCTTTTGATTACATTTCAAAAATAAATTTTAAACAGAACCTACCACATCTTGCATCCAAACATCCATGGTTGTGATCGATTTTCGAAAAAGAATTGAAATGCCGTTTTTATTGCGTTTTCGATCGATTTAGCTACCGAATGTATAATTTATTCGCGTCAACGATGCCACCGATTTTTTTTTTCTGTTGTCCAATCGATGTGTATAAGTAGAGTATGCAAAGTAGTGACTTTTATTTTGCTTTCTTTTTGCTCGCAAAAAAATCACTAGAGTTTTGTTCTATGTATCGAAGCGCGTCTATGCCGTCTTATGGTCGCTTATTTGTTTCGAAAGAAAAAAAAACAACAACGAAACAGAAGAAAAAAAAAATTCCGTTCCGTAGCTATACCAACATATTCACATTGAATGCGAACAATTTATTGATGCCGATCAACGTGAACGAGTACTTGTGTCCATTTATTTTCATTAAAATTGATTAAAATCGTATAAATTCTGCACTAGTTAATTGTAACTAAATATAAATTTATTACTTGGGTTTTTTTTCTCTTTCTGTTTTCTCTCTCTCTTTCTCTCTCTCTCTTCTGTCTCTAGGTATTCGTTGATTGTACTTTTTCTCTCTTTTTTTTATTACTGCGATCGTCTATCACCAAGAAGAATGTCTAGTTGAGGGTTTTGATCGTTTGATAGTTGGTTAAATAGATGTATAAAATTGATCGAAGTCGCTCTCTTCCTGGAGCAATTCAGTGATTTTTGAATGTCTAAAAATGATAATTTAGGCACACTGGTTATAATAAAGTTTATAGTTCATCGGCGGTGGCTCTCTTTTTCTTTTCTTTTTATTGTAACAGTCACAAAGTTTTTATTTTTTTTTTAAACGAAATTCAGAACACGGAACGTTCGAACAATTCTCGAAAGAATGTTGTATAAAATGTAATCACAAATTTCGCTTATAGACAATTTGGTCAAATTAACGAAAAAAAAAAAACTGGTCGAAATATTCACGGATCACGCACTAAAAGCAGGCACTTTGGGTGTTCAAGTCTGTTTGGTAATTGATAAGGCATTTAAAAACAACAAAAAAATGTCAGAATATTTTAGTTTAGCATTTCATCTGATAAAACACACTGGATCAAGAAATAAATAGCAACGTTTTTCTCCGAAAAAAGCAAATTCTCAACAGTGAAGTCAACAACTAGAATGTTGCTATTTTGTGCGAAAAAAAATTAATTTAATCGGAGGTTTGACTGAAAAATTTGCACACGTCTAGTCAATGCGAGCTGGATTTGTGTTCTTTCGCTTGAAATGATATTTAACGCGAAAGAAGATGCAGGAGCTTTGGAAAAATTGTTGCGCTTGGGATTTCGGGTTTTTTTTTTTAGTTCTGGGACTTTTGTGTTGATTATCTGCTCGCTTACATCGCCAATTCAACAATATACTGGACTCTCTTTCTCGTTCGCAAACACACAACACACACCGAATATAACGACAACGATTCGCAGATTGTGAATTTTGTTATGCTCGCGTGTCCTATCTCTATCTATCTCTCTGTGTATCAGCGTTTTAGCTGTTTACTGTGCGACACGATGGCTCGTACTGAAACTTAAATTCTATTTACTTTTGCACAAAATCCAAATTTTATTTCATTCTTGATTGTTGATGTTGTTTTTTCACTCTGTTTTCTATTCCATTTCGTTGTTGTCGTTGTGGTGGTGGTGGTTGTGTATGTGTGTTTTCATTCTTTTTTTTTCTGTCGTGCCTTTTTGGTTGGCTTATATTTTTTTGCACACCAGCGATATGTACGAATGCAAAAGTGTATATACACCGATTTGCTGTCGTACATATGTTGATGGCGTACACGATATGTAGTGAAACTGAACGTGAATGCCGATGTATAGTTGCCGTTCTATCGTGATATGTACTCGATTGCTTTGCTCGTGTAGATGTATGCCGGAGATTTTTTTCTCGCTCATTCAATTCGTCGGTTATCGTTGTTGTTGTTGTTCTTGCTGTATTTTTTCTTTGGCGAATTTTTATGGCCAAATGTGTGCATGTATTCGTATTAAATATTCTTCGCTTACATTCGTTTGCGACTGTGTGTCTGTGATTTTTACACTCTACACACGGCATTCGATGGCGTTGTGTGTATAGATTTTTAGTTGTGGTAGACGAGTGACAGCAGCGATTCTTTGCTGCATCGTTAACAAATAGCGTTACACAGCATAGTATATAGCCAATCGAATTGGATTGAATGTAAGCATCAATAACTAAAAAGCGTCGTTTTACATACCGCTCAAATGGTTTCGGTTATATACACCGCCGAGACGACAGTAAAAAAACACTGAGCGAGCGATGGAGAGAGAAAGAGAAAGAGAGAGAGAAAGAGAGAGAGAAAGAGAGAGAGAGAGAGAGAGAGAGAGAGAAAGAGAGAGAAAGAGAGATAGAAAGCAGCAACAGAGAAAAGAATCGACTTATATGTAAATAGAGTCACTAGGCTTCCATATAAATATATATACGTATAAACACTAATTAATTGTTATGTGGCGAATATAGAACAGAAAATTCGCTCGACTAATTCATGTGTTTCGCTTTTTGTGCAGTATATTTTCTCTCATTTCTGCTATTTGTCCCTTTCTCTTTCTCTTGGTCTTGATATTATTATGATATCATTAGAATGTGGATGGAGAGAGACAGATAAGCGATTGGTAAATTCGATACATTGCAAATATCAAATGATCATGTTTCCATTCGAAAAATGTGTGAATATGATGTGAGTTTACGTATTTCCGAATAAATAGCCGCCATCAAAACCCTTTCAACCAAATAATGTTTATCGCGACTGCTTATCTGTCAGCTGTTCTCATGATGCTAATATAAATTATTTCCTGGGCCCTCATTTCATATATAAACATATATAGCGAGTGTATTATGATCGCACAATGATTTTATGGTTAGTGCAGCTCTCTCTCTGTCTCTGGCTATTTTTGCCAATTAGATTCAGATATTAATTTCCTATTCTTGTGTCTCTCTGAGTCGTTGTTGCCGCACAGCTAGTGTATATTACAGTGGCCGTACGATTTGTGGTTGAATCATTGAATCACTATCAAATCAATCTATTATTACAGATCAGTATGTGTACATTTGTTTTTGTCAGCGTTCGCAGCGTAAACAAAAGTATTAAGTACTAATAGCTGGGTAGAGTATATTTAATTTTGGTATCTGTTACGCTGGAACATCTCTACCGTCCATTCGGCGTAAAAAAATGAATATGAGTTTGAACCTCCAATCACAAGCAATGTGTACACACATATGACAAATGCAAAACAATTCCGAGTCATTTCATATCATATCGAATCGTATTGAATTGGCCGCTCGGTTTGGTGGGGCTATTCAACATCTCTTTTGCGTATTACATGCCAAAATTGATGGAATCAAGCAATTTCAATCTCAATCCGTCTGAGTACATAAAACTTTTAATAGTCTTGTATATGTGCTTCAATTGGTGTTTACGTGCGTTGTTTTTCGTCAGGGATTTAAGTGAATCAATTACGACTCAATTACGGCTTAATCATTAATGCATCGTTCAATCAAGGCACTCGAACCATTGAGAAAATTGTGCGCCATGAGAACGCATTTTGATTTCTTAATTATATGTCTAGCAGTGTATTTATCTGTGCTCTGAATGCGAGTGGTTAGAGGCACATATTATCTCACTCTTAATATCGCATCGATCTAATTTGAATGACTTTTTTTCTTTCTCTATCGATGTTCTATATTTAAAAATGTGCAAATGAGAAACGCGAATAGACGTGTGCTCTGATCGAAACGATAACAGCCTATTTTAGCACAACTTGCAAAATTTGGCCAGTACAACTGAATCATTGTTGTTTCTAAGTGTACATGTGTATACACTGTGCACGCTGAAGGCTATTTTACACACACTAGTGAACTAATCGACTTATGAGTGTTAATTCACATTGCAATACCATCAAATGGCTAATCTCATTTACCGCGCCAATCGACTGTCACTTGCGTGTGTAGTTTTTGACGATCGAAATTCGGGATATTGGATTAGAATAGAAAAAGATCAGGTTTTTTCATTGTAATAATCAAAAAAGCGCTTGTGTACGCGGCAGCGTACTATCTCAGCGGCGATGAAGGAAAATCCTAAGTGATTGAAACAAATATCTATTGCTTTCGGTTTATAATTGAAACCAATACATGCACTTGTTGTATGTGAGTATAACGAGGCATGATTCTTTGGTTCATATTTCAAAAAAAAAAAGAAGTGGTTGCACGTGTGCTCATAAATTTAATATTATTCCGAATGAATATCATGCTAGAAAATTGCATAGACGTCGTTGTTATTACGACGTATTCGATGCCGATAATTACAGATGTGCGCTGGACGATTTTGGACAAACGAAGAGAGCAAAAGTGAAGCGGTTAACTGGCCACTGTTTGGTTTTGGTTAGCGTTGGGTTCGGTTCGACTTGACAAAAGGTGGATCGGAACACACGGAACTCAAGCGCACGCACTTAGACCATTAGGTAATCTTTGCAATTCTATTCTCGTTGGTCGAGATGATTAAACAATGCCTTGACAGACAACCATGTGCACACAAACACACGCCGAAGAAGACAACAGGCTGTTCACTTGGAGCCCACATCACTTAATTGCCGAAAATTCGGTTGCTTTCATGATTATTGTGATTATTATTGTTTTTTTTTCTCTGTTTCGTTGTTGATTATTTACATCGAGCATCGTGTGTGTCGATAAGTTGTTGTTTGTGTTTTCGTGCCTCAAACAACTTAGTCATTTTGAGCGATGGGGCCCCCTGACAAAAAGTACATGTTAATTTGATCGATGTACAATGTTCAAGTCTATTTTTTTCTCTTTCTCGCCTTTATGTATGCTGTGATTTGTGGAAGAAAGAAGTCGAGACCTTGAAATTTTTCGGCAGATCGCTTTTTTTGCACGTCATGAGCATGTGTTCACTGTCAATTTTTTTTTCCGTCGTGACGAATTTGCTTTTCCCTTTCGCATCGTACGGCTTGGGTTTTTTCTTCCTCTTCTTACTTGTTGTTGCTACTTTTTCTGCACTGTTTCTCATTCGTTTTAGCATCCTATTGCCGAACATTTTTGGTTGTCTTTATTTTTCGCTATGCTGACGCTAGATTTTTTCTCTTTGGAATGCCTTTCTTATTGGAGTTCTAAATAAATAAACGTATTTCTTTCTCATATGGGGCCAAATTTTCAATGATTCCCTTATTTCATATTCATTTTTTATTCAATTGAATTTTTTTCTTGTAATTTTCAGGGCAGCGAAAAAAGGCTTAAAATGAGCATCAATTTTACACACTTATTTTTGTTTTGTTATTTGTTTCCATTTGAAAGGAAAGAAAACAGCAAATTGCTGTGAACGTACTTGGTACATGACATTCCCGTATGATTTCAATAGCGTCGGGGAGCTAGGAACAAAAAGCACTAAGAACAATTCGCCCAGTCATACACGACGCATTGTGTGTTGAATCTCACTTCGCTCTTTTTTCTTCGCTCTCTTCACATTTGCTTTTGTTGATTTTTCGGCGAATGCACCCATTTATAATGGCTATTGAAAGCGTCTGCTGAGACCGATCGACGGTAACAATCATTTCTCGTGCCAAGTGAATCCGATTGTCACGTATTTATCGATTATATCGTATTGGCTGCTTGCCTCGCCTTGGCTCGGCCACTCTTGCCAAAATAAAATATTAATAAATGAGTTTCGGGTAAAATTCGTAGGCGTAATGTAATCATTAAAGCACACTACTCGTTTTTTGCATTAAGTGCTAAATGTGTTCCAACGCAAGGCGGGTATGAGAGACAGCCAATACGCGCGCACTCTTCTCGAATACACTTTGCTCGCACTTAAGAATTATGTACGTCAACAATGGATTTGTGAGTTTGGTTTCTTTTTCTCCTTTTATTTCTCTCTCTCTCACACATTTAGCTTCATTCTTCACTTCATTCCCATTCTTAGTCTCGGCTTTTTGATTAATTAGTGTTTGACAACCAAAAAATGAGCTTGCATTGTCTGCTGCGTTCAGACATTTTTTGGCGGCTCTTCGTCATTTTTATCGAGGTTTATGACCAAAAAAGATGGCAAAAAAATAATCTTCGTAAAACATAGAGTGTCTGCGTGAGTAATCAACAATCGCAATGCGCTGAGAACAAACCGTCATTTAGCGTAATTCATATGCAAATGCCACGTTTTTCTTAAACTCAACGAATTGCCACTCGCCGGCGATTGGTCAATTAAGCCAAACACGCAATTGAAATTCAAATGAGCATCACATTTCAGCCTTGATTCCAGGCAGATTTTTGATAAGCAAATGCAAAAAAAAGTTCTTATTATGCTCAAAGTAATATTGATTATATGCTTTAATCCAAAGAAATGGCACGTGTCAAAATTTCTTTTTCAATATTCTGTTTACCAATCTCAGCTTATCATTTCTAATGCTCGTTACAAAGTCCCAAATTTCTTATTTTCACATCGAAACAGTTTCAATGCCACTGCGATAAGACTTTGGCCCAAGATCGAGTAGATCCTCGCATCCGTGCGTAATTCGCTTAAAGAATTAGTCGCTTTCTCCCCATGCTTCGTATTAATTTCTATGAAACGGCCGCATGTTTGACTCTTTGACCAAATAATGGTATCGGATCGAAGCAAAGGTCTATACCAATTATTATAATAAAAAAAATAATTGATTTCACTCTATCTTCAGCGCATATACACATTAGATTAGTCGCTTTCATTCAATCAATTTTGTACACGGCTTTTGATTAACCTTTTTCACACATCCAGAACAAATGATGTGATGAAGTTTCAATGATATGTGGAATAACTTATGGTATGAGCAAAGTGGGAACATTTAGTTTACAAATCGGATTAAAATAAGCGTTTCTTTTATTTATCAAAAACATGGAGTTTCAACTTAAATACCAATAACTTTAATGAACTCTTAACACATTCAAATACGATAGCGTAAACTATTTCCTTTTTGGAAAATTGAGTTCCAAAGTATTTAATCCTCAATTCATACAAATTTGGTTAAGAATATCGATTCCCATAAACAAAATTGTTATTTTTATCGCTGGGAAAGACAATCTTAGTCGCTATAGTCAATAAACAAACTATTTTTGATAGTCAATTTGGCTTATTAACCTACTTTTAATCAAAATAATATACTTTTTCCCACAACACCTGACTAAGCATTTAAATTCCAGGTGAGAAATGTCTTTTGTATCATTTCATTGATTAATTATCAAGGGAAAAATAACACTTTCAATCAATTGAATTATTGATAGAATAAGTATTGACACAACAGATTTATTGCTTATCACACACAAAATTCAAAGCATATCTCGATTCATCTCACAAATGGAACGAGCTGCCGTGCATCATCTATTCATAGATGGATTTACACATTAGAATTCAGTCAGTGAAATCTTTATCAACGAACTTTGACTCACATTAAATTAGTTGATGTTCGCTTCAAGCGTTGAGCGGTGCCGCAAAGTGATATCATAATCTAGGCAAAGAAATTAGGCATGTTGTGTGAATGTATACAACGTTTTGTGACAATAGCACGTGTTTGATGAATGCGGAATAATTTCGTTCAGTTGACACTCTACAACAGAGTATCCCATATAAATACACCGTTCGCATGCGTTGCTATATTGATAAGCGTAATTGATTCCAGTTCATACTGAAGAGTTTCTCTTTTATCTACAAATCCAATAGATCGTGGCAAATACGCGACCTTGTCAACTTGAATTTTAACAAAATAAAACGTTGTGAATTTCATTTGCGAAGAAAATGTTGATAAATGATTTTTTGAAGGTGCCGCACATTCATTGATGTGCGATAGTAAAATATCATCATCAACCAGATGCAATTTTTTTCAAATTGCTTTTGAGTTTGATAGCATGAATATTCGAATAGACCATGTGGTATATTATGTTCAAATTGCATGAACAAACTGCCGTATATATTTTCTTTAAAATGTTGTGAACATTCTCGAATCGATATTTGAAGGCAACCAACAACCGTTTCAACAGGTATTGTCATTGTCATGGTTGAAATAAACAAATAAATGAAGCGACTGCATACATTTTATGGAGTCATTTAACGATATTGTACTTTAAACATGTTTAACACTCTGGACTAATAAAAAAAATAATAAATTGTGTGACTTCCAATCACCTTTGATCTTTGTCGTTCCAAACAAGTGCATCATCACACTCTACGCCATTTTTATCGCCAGCAATTTTTTTTTTCCTTTCGAAAATGTATTTTATTCCAAAATGAAAAGTGTGTCGGCAAAATTAAACCATGTTTCAATTCATATCAGTGGGTATGTGTAATGTTAGTCTAACATCGTTAGATTAAGACGAAATTATAGAAATAAATCCGGCCCTCTTGTGCCATTTTGTATTATCGATTAAAACCTCAATTGTAGTTTACTTCATGTTTTCGGGGATTATTTGAAGCGTTGTTCTCTTCAACGTTTGTCATACACACACACACAGAGAGAGAGAGAGAATCAAATATCAAAACGAATTCCACTAATTTTTATTGGATGTATAAAATATTTAGTAGAGGTGAGCTGCTCCCATCAAAACTTTTTATGCACACACAAACAAATACACGCACGCCACACTCATAATTTAACCGAAAATATTCTCTCTGTTGAATTCGTTGTGGCGTCAAAACAAATGCACATTGACTGTGTCTTTTGGACTGCTACATGTTTTTTTTTTCTCTGTGTCTGTCTCTCGCTTGCTCTTTCTGTATTGTCGTGTGTATTAGAAAATTAAATTTGCCTGCTCGACGTGCGACATTTCTCTATATTATAAAATGCATAGCCATATGGTTAATCGTGGTTGTTGTTGCTGTTGAACATGAATTTTGGCGTTTCGTGTGTATTCTTCACTTTTTTGGTAATAATGCTTAGAACGTATGCCATAAAGTGTACAGGTTCATATAATAGACGAAAGAGACTTCAACAAACCAGACATATAAAATGAAAAAAAAACACATATACATTAAGCGAACGCGAAAAGTGGCAACATATAAAAAAAAGAACAAACTAAAATAACGAGAGAGAGAGAGAAAAAGAAACCGTAGAATGGGGAACAAAGTCTAGATGGGTAGTGAAACTATGCAAAATGGATGGAGAATTTTAGGCAAAGGAAAGCTGAAAATAATGCGAATTCGGTTGTGAACGTGTGTATGTGTGTGTGTGTGTTGGTTTGCTGCGCAACGCATTTGTTAAAACATTCAAGCGCATTAATTTCGTAGTTGAAGCCACTTTGAAAAATTCATCAAATTCGTCTGGCGAATACATGGGTGAAGGGCGGCGAATAATCACCCACATTGTGTACTTCGGCTGCATTTGGCAGTTTTGGCGGATTTTGAACATCTCGATATAAGCTCATTTATTCCATTCCGAAGAAAACATTATGAGCTTTTCTTTTGATTATTGCGTTTTTTTTTACCATTTCTCTCTCTGTTTTTTTATTTCATTTTTGGAATATCAATTTAGTGTGTTTAGTCATTCGAAATATTCGCCATTTTCTCCTGTGGTGATTGTGATTTTTATCAAGCTGTGCAAACATGACTATCATGTTTTATATTCACTTTTCATTATAATTTATGTGTGCAGTACCAGCTGGATAGAGAAAAGAAGAGAAGTTTGCGAAGTGCAAAACGTTCTTTGCGTCCGAGAGGCTTATGTTTGTGAATATGCAATAAACATGCGGTCATTTGTGGATTCTAAAATGCGATTGTAGCTATTAACCAGCGTTGTCAGTCCAAAATGTAAATCCATTTTGCATTTTGAAATATGAAATATTGTAGGCGAAACAGTGGCTGATGGGTAGAGGCCCAATGGCTCGTTTGGCTTAGCAATCAGCGAACAATACACAAATCCCAAAATATATATATGCACAATAGTGCAGACGCAATAAATAAAGCGGGCGAAATGGAATGACGGAAAAAAAGTAGCTCCCCAAAAAACGAAGCCAGACACGGGAAGAAGAAGAAGAAGGAAAAACTATACATTGTATGCGCACAACTCAAGCACACACACACACACACATAAACATACACACATTGCATGGTTTTTGGCTTCTATTCAACCATTTGTGTGGTGTTCAGTCTGAGCGATGGTGACTTCTTTGTCGTGCTTTGCTTCAGCTATATCTATCATTTAATGTTGGCTTTTATGTATTTACATAACCAAACACCCAAAAGAGGAAAAAAAAAACAGCAACACACCAACAACGAATTTTGGTTGAAGTGAATTTCTGGCAATTCAAAGGCACGCAGACAATGAACGAAAAAAAAAAAGAACTAAATTCGAGCACGGCAACAGCCGACGAACGAACGAAAGAAAAAAAAAAACGTAACGCAAATCCGAAACTGGTGGAAATTGCACGGAGTGCACACAAACCGCCAAATAGAGACAGCATACAATTAATACTTTTGTAACCGAAAAAAAATGGAAGAACATTCGTGTTATTGTCATGGTCTGACCGTGAAAAACAATAATCAGTCATTGTTATTCGATTGACTGCATTTGGATTTTTTTTTATCCTCATATCTTGTTTCTTCAACTCTGTGCTTTATTTTTTTTATTTTGCATTCAGTATCTGTTTTTTTTCCTTTCTTTCGCGTTGTTGTTATTGTTGCTTTGTGCTCTTTTGTTCTCATCAGTATCAATTTATTTATTTCGAGTAGCGCGATGATGATTGTCGTGTGTTTTTTTTTGTTTGTATTTCACTTCGGGTGGCCAGACAATGGATCCTTTTTCGACTCGCATGAAGATAATGGCGCATTTTTTTTTTTTGGGTAGAACACATCGATTTGCGATAGTTTTTGACTAGCCAAATTCAGTGTTTTTTGCCAAATTTAAATCAAATTATCGTTAAAAACGTGACCACAATGTATGGCGTTTATCCATTACATTTCATTTGATAAATCTCCAATTTTTTGTTTGTTATTCTCCTCCTGAAAACAGTGGGCAAAACCAAGTTTTTTATTGCCTTCCTCAGTCTGCTGCGTTGTTGACGTATCACAATCATTTCGCTTCGTTCGGATATATAGCCGAGCGATTCATCAAAACGAAATCTGTACATATGAATCTGTGTATGGGTGTGTTGTTCTAATAATAAATTACGAAAGAAAATCCAAATGCACAACCGATGCATGACCTTGAATTCTCATTTTAAATTGAGCGCATTTGGCTTCCATTTGTTTTATTGCGTCATTTTTTTTCTCTTCTTTAATAAATAATAAATACACATTCGTATGCATACCGAAGAATCAATTATTGATGTATTGAACGGCCATCCGCATGCAATCGATGTATTCTCGTGTTCGATTCTTGTTTCGTTTCGTTCAATTATCACTCGTGAAAACTCATTCTATGTCATGAAAAATAATTCGCTGGAACCGTTCCGAAGCAGGTACATTTGCAGTGATACATTTGCAGCCATTATTTGTGTCGTCTGTTTCGTTTGGATTTGAATATCGTAAAATCAACGGAGACATACACAAATATGTATAGAAAAGAACTCTATAAACTTCAATTGCAAATTTATGCGCTTTCTTTTGTTCACATTTGGTGACTGCCGTTGTGGTTGTTGCATAAAATGTCGGCTAGTCAGTAATTGATTGAAATAGTTCCAGTGTCTGATGACTTTGGCGATAAATCTCATGGGCATTATCAATTTTTGCGGTTATTTCATTGGATTTTTAGTCAATATTTATGAATCTCATTGGCTGACGATGGTGTATGCGATGTAAAAAAAAGTTGAAATATCAGCAGATTTGGCATCATGTTTGCATACAAACACATCACAGACCAAACATTGTTGCTAGCCTAATTTGTGGCCTGCATGCGACTAATATCGCACTCAAAGACACAGATTCTCTCTAACAGACTCTGTGTCACCAAAGAAAAAAGAAATAGTGTTTGTCATTTTCATTGTAATTTTACCCGAAAACAACACGAACCAAGACCAAAGCAGTGAGAAAATTGCGAATATCCAAAATGAAAAGCGAATATTACGTAAGCAATGACGAAGACAAGAATTGGCATCGCGATCATTGTGTGTATAATTCTATTGTCAGTATTGTTGGTTGCTTTTATGGAGTAATTTACGTTTTTATCGTATATTACACTTTTATGTGCTTACAGACTGTAACCTATGTGTACGCGCGTCAAACATTTTCGCAAGAATCTGCGGTATAAATTCAACGACGAGCATAGTTTTTCTGATGAGAATGATGGATACTGGCTGAATACACAAAAAAGAGAGAATTCATCGAATTCAGAAAATGGTAACTTTTGTTCGTCATCACATGTTATTTTCAATGGAGCAAACAGAATGAAAAACAAAATAGCAACAACAATAAATCGAGAATAGAAGAGAAACAATCGCTAGTTCCCTTGCTGTGAATCGTAAAAAGTTTTGTTATTGGCTGTGTTCGCATACAAAAGCACACACACACACACGCTCGGTGCGCTCATAAAGCGGAAAATCTTTAGCGACGAAAGACGAAAAATAAAGAAGAATAAATAAATTTTAAATTAGAAATAGAAGCGACGAGATTCATGCGCTTGTACTAGTGTGAACTATAATTTGAGTGCAAGAATACAATATGGTTTGAATGTCATCGTCAGTGTGCTTAGTTCGCTGTAGAATCGGACCTACCCTACGAATATATTTTGTGCACTAGTCGCGCGACTATTCGACTCACTCGATTCGATGTGAAATGTTGGCACCGTTCAAGCGTGTGTGTGTTTGTGTATATATGCGCGTTCGCTCACGACGTATTGCAATACACATTTACAACGTTCTCCATTTGTTTTCTGTTTTCGTCTCCAACCGAAAAAAAATATTTGTTCCTTTTTTTTTTTTCTTTGCGCATCAAATTAAAAGGCGAAAAAAGCACAAGAATGTTTTTGAATCGATCATCGACTCCATTTCATTTGTCGGGACAACAGCGCGACAACAATAAAAATGTGGTAGACGTAGAGTATATGGCAACAAGTACAAAAATTCTGACTTTGTTGACTCTCGCAACAACAAAATTCTGATTGGGTGAAATTAAATTTATTGCGAAAAAAAAAAGAATCGAAACGCACATAAACACGCTGAAACCGCAAATGTCAATGCTATTTTTGTGTATTATATAAGATAGCGAAACATTTTTCCGATGACATTTTATCCCTTTTCAATGCAATCAACAAAACGATGCCAATGAACGATAGTATGTGTTTTCGAACATCCTTTTTTGTGTTTAAATTATGAGCAATCGCGACCAATTTTTTTCTCCACTAAATTTAAAGCTTGGATTTTATCAGGTTTTCATGAAAACGAAAATAAGTTTGGTTTGTTCAGGCGAAATGTGTTTGTGTTTTATTTTTTTTTGGCTTGTTGAATTGAACACCGGATTTCGATAGAGGCGATAAATGAATATGAAACCGAACGAAAAAAAAAACAAACTGTTGTTATCATTATTTGTCTGCTGGCATGCATTTGTGGGAACAAAGAAGGAGAGAAAATGCCAAAATGTGTAAAACGAAGCTCATACACAAGAGAAAGAAGAAGATGAAACGAAGACTGGGAATGTAAATAAGAATTTTGCAATAGTCCGAAACAACAAAATTTATTTGGCATTCCATTTATTATCATGTATAATCACCACACCATTCACATACAGACATCCCATTGAGACTCGACTATCAATGACAGTAATAACTCGATTCAATGAATCTATCGTCACCATTCACATTCTCATATACATTGTATTTGCGACAGAAAAGAAACCAAAACCCATTAAGAGTTTCAATTACGAAACGAGTAAATTCTAAACAGGATTCTTATCGCAGAGAAGAAAATCGAATTTGTCGTCCATTTCAGTGCACACTGCACATGGACTCATACATTGATACGGCGTAAAAAAAAGGAGAGAAAAATTTACACATCAAATCCTATAATCAATTCTATGTAAGAATTAATCTCACTCACCTTAGTAACAAGCTGAAATGTCTCGTTTCGTTTTTTTCACTTCTTTTCACTTCGTGTGTCTCGTTGATCGAATTTCACTTCTTTTTTTTTTCCTCGCTGTCACTTATAAAACAAATGAAAGAAAACAACGACTGGAAACAGTGAGAATAAAAACTGGCTTCCGTACGTTCAGGCTTAATCAAGAATGAGGTAACATGAAAACACTAAACAAACTATAACAAAAGCATTGCCCATTGAAAGAAATAACACACTCATACTCGACTATCATCCAATCGCGAAATAATTTCGAATCAGCAAAATCAACTGATTTTAAATGGAACCAATTGATTCTTTTTCCTTCTCGATAAAATGGAAATTAAAATAAAAACGAAAAATTTTTTTATTATGACACAACGTTCTGGGCACACCAAAAAAAAAAAGTCCACAACAACAGAAAACGCACACAACACGGGAATGGTTAAGTAAGAAACACACATACCGAAAATAGAGGCGAAAAGAGAAACAGAGAAGAGAATGAGAGACAAAGAGAGTGACAGAGAGAAGAAGAAATGAGCGAGAGCTGAGTGAAATACAAAGATACAGCGTAGAAAACGTAAATTTATGGCGAAGAAGAAGAGGAAGTATGGATGTGAGGCGAGACAGGCTACAGAAACGAGAGCACATGAAACATATGGAACTATAGTGCACGGTGCATGTGTGTATGTGTGGGCTGTTCGTTCTTGTTCTCGATGTCACACAGTTTCGTTTTTGAACCGTCGGCACGTTATGCAAATCAAGTGCACGGCCATTCTTCGTAGTTTCCAGTCATTTTCTTGCAGCAAATTTGTCATAATTGTTTTTCAATCAATTAAAACCAAAAAATTTGACCAAAAAAAACTGATTTTGTTTTGGAAATCTTTTAATTTTTCATCAAATGTTCTCGATTTTCTTGCTGTCATTTGCAATCAGCGCCACGATTCCAAATGCTTGTGATAACAAATTGACACTTGAACAAATTCTACACTGTGCCAAATTCATTGGACTTCAAAATTTACTCACACTAGATGGCGCTCTTCCAAATGGATTGCGTATTGGGATACGTTTTCTAACTTTCTAAATGTCTATACTCATTTAGGGGTTCATTTCATATAGTTTACATGGTGTCGATATTTGCAATGCCCACGAATAGGTCAAAACAGAATATAGAAGCAGTATACTGCTACTGGATATATCCATACGATTATAGAATAGAAATTTGGTGTAAAATTATTTGAATCGATATTTTTAGTTTCGTTTCATTTATTTAGCTAAAGAAAAAAAATTGTGAAGGAAATAAAAAGGGAGGAAAAAGATATGATGAATAAAAGTTACAGGACATCATTTCATTCTCTCGTTCCACAAAAAAAACAAACATTTTAAAAACAGATTCAATCTTCAGCCCATAAAGTATTTCCTTCCAATTGGAAACAGGCATCGAATGTGCATTTAATTTTTTTTGGTATTGTTTACCTGTGCTGTAAACCCGAGAGTGCATCGCATTGCATATTTGCTGGGGTGCCATGAGGAGGGATTAAAACGGCACAATGAATGAAATAGAACAAGTCATAATTGAGGTCGTCGAACTCATCATTTCGATAGAATTGAATGAATCTCAATATACATGAATTTCATCGGAGAAGTTCTTTCATTCAACTGCATCCCATGCTGTGAAAAAAATTTCGCTAGTTAAATTGATATTCGGCTTAGTCGAGAGGCAATTTGAAGGCAATATATGTTTACTTTTACGTAACATTTTTTGATAACGTTGAAATATAAACATATATTGCCTTCAAATTGCCTCTCGACTACCGTGTGTTTTTATCCTCCATTCCATCATTTAAATAAATTTAGTTAATGAACGTTGTCTATTCTCTTTAACTCGAACACTATGCGTTTCGTCCACAAGTAGCCAGCTGTTGTAGATCCTGTCAACAAACGGCTGAAAGCGGCACCGCATACAATTGACAATAATTTGAATGAAAGCACATACACGCATATTTTGGAATCAGCGGCAATAGCAATGGCAAAATCTTCGTCATTGCGCATGTATTTAGATTGCAAGCGCGTTAAAAAGTGTCCATCGAGTGTAAGTGGTAATTGAAGCTTGTGTGCGGATATGTAACGCGGCGACAGCACATGGTAGTATGAGCGTACAGAGAATTGTGTGCTTCTTGTCCGGGTTTTTTTTTTGTTCAATTGAAATAGCGGAGTCTCAATTCCTGTTTTGACGGTTGCTATGGCTTCTATTGCGCTCACGCACACACGTATCCATGGAACGCATTTCCAAACTTGCCGCCGCATATTTTATGCGTAATACACACATATGTGTGTAGCATAGGAGTGCGGTGGCCACAACAAGCACACAAAGGGGTTCCACGATTCGCTAAGACGTAGTACAACAATAGAAACTGACTACATTGAATGTGTTCCTTTTTTTTCCTTTCCACTGTGATGAAATCAGCTCCGTTCATCTTGGTTGTTGTTTGTTTTTTCTTGTGTGTAACACGTAGTCAGTCATTTCACATTCAGTGAATCAATACGGTGTCGAGAAACGGCAAAAACGGTGACATTTACAAATGGTTTCATTTCGTTTCGAGTGTTGATAGATTTGTTCTTGGTCAAATAGCGAAAATCTTTGTCGATGAAAGACATTTTCTTTGAAAAAAAAAAAAATCTCAATTTGCCACTGCGAAGAGCTACTCAAATTACACCGCGAGTGACGTGGTTGGTTTTATTTATTGTATGAATTTGCCGTGTACAGCAACAGTGTGGACACACAGAAAAGTGACAGAGAAAATTGAAATCAAAGAAAAATGAACTAAGCGTTTAATATGTGTCTTATCTCAAAATGTTGACCGAAAACGATGAAAATCGATACGAATCCAATTGCTGTCTACTGTGTTTCTTAAGTGTTTATTAGAACCTTCGGGGGAAATACAGAAAAAAGCGTAATAAAAATTAGACAAATAACAAAGAAGCAGAGAAAAAAGTCAACGTTGAACGAACGAAACCGCAAAAATCAATTGTCGCCATTGAATAAATGCAATATGATTTCATACCTCAATTGGTTCAAACTCATGGCATATTTATTTACTCTGCAAATTTAGATTTCGTATTTATTTACATTTCAAGGATATCGCAATCGATATCAGTTGTGTTTACACAGAGTGAAACGAAATAAAATGCGAAGACCGCAGTGAATTTCGGTGAATTTCTATTCGCTGCCAATAAAAACTGTTTGTTTATTGTTGGCCTAATTCGGTTTTATGTGATTTTTGTTCTTCATCATCATAATCATTGGGACCGTTGTTTTACATTTCAGTGATCGGAAATCATTTTTACGACTTCTACTCATTTCATGGAAAAAATTTCCATTGAACAATCGATGTAAGCGGTATGATTCACGTTTCCTGTAATTGAGATGGACCAACCAAACACCCCCTCGTTTACTGCTTTTTCAGTGGAAAATTCTCCATTTCAGTTTTCCTCAACAGTAACCACAGTTTGCATGCACAAAAACCATTTAACTACACCTATTTTTTTTTTAATGAGGCCGTCGGCGCAATACGGCCGCACAACGGAACATATAGTGAAATATCGATTTTATCATTCCACTTTGAGAGCTACGATTTACAAAAACCAAATGCTTTTGACTTAATTAATGGATTAGCACCAAATTGGCTCATTTGAATTCCCTGCTGTTTATACGTTGAGAGTTTATATTAAAAAGATTAAAAGAAACATCATGTCCATCATCTTGTAATTTAGTACGTTTTTAATACACTCGGACACATTTCATTCGAATGTTCAGAATATTTTCGGTTTTCCTTGTTAATAACTATTTTTACAATCCAAAAAAATTTCAATTAGAATACCATTCGAGAGCACGGTGTTGACACGGTGACGGCGAACAGATGAAATCTCATGCGATGATTTTTCTAATGGGAATTATGAAAATGATTATATATATGTATTGGGCAACATCGTCCCAGTTATTTCGTATATTCTTCTATTTCCTTCCCAAAATTACTTTTCGCACTTAGACGTCTCGACAGCGTTACGCTTTTGATTTCGAATTTGTCGGTGTGCTGCTTTTTGAGCTGTCTATAAATAAAATATGCGATTGGAAAATGTGGATCAAATACTGATGATATCGTGTGTGCGCCACACCAGATGATTTGTATTGGAGCCAATGCACTGGCCATGTGAAGTGCCTCAAATACATTTATTTTGCTCTCTGGCATTTCGTTTCACTTGCCCGATCGGTTTTCAAGCGTTTTCGTCCATTCACCTAATGGATTCAGGCAATTTATAGCCATAACACCGTTTTCAACCGATGAAAATGAGTTTCGAAACTCGAACCAAAATCAATCGCTTGGCGCTGATTTGTCCGGTTGTGAGTACTTTTGAACAGATGTAATGAAAGTGAAATCGTTTTGCAATGATATTTCAACGGGAAGATTCCGTTGGTCGTCTCTCTGTGTCGAGTTGTCAAAGGGTTGAAATAATTCAAATCCAGTTTGATTCAAATGAAAAATCGCCATCTTTTTCAACCGACACATTTTTTTGCGGAGAATATTTTTCTTCTTGCCATCAAGAAGATCCAATAAAAAGTGTCAGTCATTACGTGGCTTGTGAAATTTATAACAAAAGCGCGTATACGTGACATAAACAATAACGCAAAGCTATGCCATATTACTTATAGTTGGGTAGCGGCATGAGAATCTGAATCAAAATCCCAATATATATTCATTTTTCTTTCTTCGATAATTCGTTTGCTCAATTCAACGTCCCATTGCTTGTTGCTACTGACGCCGCCGCTGCTGCCGTTGCTCGTTTCGAATCGTATTGCGATAGAGGCCTGTGCATATGGTTGTCTGTGTGTATTTGCCGTACACATGAAGCATAGCGGTAGCATGTTAATGCCAAGCATAAACAGTTCATTAAGATCCACGCTCGTGTAAGGCTCGATTGAATTATGAGCATCGTCCCGCGTTAACCGTTTCGTTTGATTGACGTCGACCGACGATATTCATTTTTGTTTTTGTTTTGTTAAATTCTTATTCTGCTCTTTTTTCTCATCGCCATTCCATTCATAGAATTTCAACGACATTATTCGAATGTGACAGTTTTTCTCGGCGATATGTTCACAATGAAAGTCGTGTTGCCATCCTATCGATCGGTCAAACCGACACCAACCATTCAAAAACTCGTGTAAAGTGTGCCCAAAAAAAGGAGAATAAAAGAAAAATTGAAAGAAAAAGAAGCGAAAAATAATAATCCGAGTAGTGAAATTCTAAGAAACAGCTGACAAAATGCTGTTTTCAAATCAAGTCGATCGCTTCAAACAAAATGTTGTGATAATATTCTTAGTTTTAGTGGTGTATGCTCCAAATGTGTTGTTGCACAACGATGAAATCGCATCGAATGCGATTGATCAGTCAAAACAAAATGCTTCGGTGAAAAAAGAAATGCCATTTGTAGAATACTATATCGAACACAATGTTAGTCAACGTGATGCCAAGCGGAGCTTCTTCGAAATCGGCATTAAATTATTGGACGGTGCGTGTTTTGACATTTTTAAATGATGAGAAGAAGAAAAAACGATTGCAACGACATTTTCATCCGAAAAAGAATGCGTTTTAATCACAAATTTATGTGTGTTTGTTATTTTTTCTGCAGAAAAACCATTGCGTTGGTGCATGCAATGTACTGATCAAATCATCAACTACTGCCTCAGTGGCAAAATGCTGGACGATCATTGTTGCTGTGACTCAAGGCATGGCCAAGGTACAGATGACAAAAAAATACATTTTATTTGTGTGTGTTTTTTTTTTAAGTTGAACAAATCAATAAACAATTCATTCACTTTGGAATTCCTCGGTATTACTTTGGAAAGAGAAAAAAGGGAATCGATGCAATTGTGTGTGCATTTCCTTTGCATCGACTGAGTCATTGGCCGAGCAAATGAATTGATTGCGTCGGGAGGTGTTGAACAGCCGTTGTTTTGAATAATAAGCAATCCAAACGCATTCTCTTCTATTAGATTTCGATCCAATAGAAAAGTTGAAATGCTCCCTAGAATACTAATCATTTCGACAATTTAATTGAAAATATTGACTCATAAAATTGATTAAATGGACAATAGTCTACTAGGCTTTGGTGTCTGCTATGTGTGACTCTTTTCCCCTGTGCGATTGTTTCAATTTGCACATCGAGTTTTGCGTTGTGATTATTAGTGATTTCACATTAAATGTTGTTATGTAGACAATTCTAATTAGCGACCGAGTTTTAAACATTCGCAAACATCGCATTGTTTATCCACTAGGTGCTAGTTTTTCTAAAAATTATTGTGGTCGTCTTACATGCGCGCTCCGCTCTCGCAACCATTTTTGAATCACATTTCGTACATATTACCAGAGAGCGATGGTAACGCAACGATCTCTATTTGAGACATACAAGAGATGACCTTATGCACAGCAGTGAACCAATGAAATGCGGATTTCCACAAAAATGCAGCTCAACCCATTTTTCGAGTTCATTATTTTTCCCATTACAAAATGCCCAATTCATCTAATTTATTTGTCAAAGTGGTAATTAATGTGTGCTCACGACACACACACACATTACGATTACGTGCTCTCTCGCACACAAACCGACCGACAGTTGCAACTATTGCAATTGTGATGATTTTCATTTTTATTTGCTTCATTTTCGTTTTGTTGATTGTTTTCGGTTTTTCAAACCCATCGGATTTTTAATTATCACTTGTTCACCAAATTATAATTAATTTTTACTAAACGAAATTGTGATTCATATGCCATAAACGCAACAAATTCCCATTCGTCGCCGTAACTTCATCCAAAATGGAACAATGATTTTATGGTTTTTTTCTTTCAATCCAAACTTCCTGACCTTAATACTGAGCGTATTGAGTCGTTTCATTCGGTTTAATTAGTTGTGATTTAATAAGACATATTATGAACTATTGGCTCATCTAAGTAAATAGAAGAGACACGGAAGGTTTTCGAACGCACGGTTGCACCCGTAGAACAACCAATAGAAATTGATATGTCAATTCGATTTGAGCGTAATGAAACAATGGCTTGATGTCAGAGTGTATCTCATTTGCATTCTCCAATTCAGAGATCTTTGTAGTCACACGTACGATGTTCGTCGCATAAATGTGATGTTAATCGATATGGAAATGGATCTGTCGAATGACTCCGTCGCATTGTTGACTGTTTACGCACCAGTAGTTTTCTTCTTAATAAACATACAGAAAAATTTGCATAAACGAAATTACCCAGATTTTGAATTTCAGTGATTTTTCAGTAAAAAATTCATCAACAAAATGTTGTTGTTATTGTTTGTGTGTGATTTGTAGTTTATTGCGGTGTTTTTATTTGTGCAGCGATTCTATTTCTATTATTTTTCAACGGTGTTTTTTTTTCGCCTTTTTACGTTTCTTTACTCGGTCATTTGTCATTCCATTATGAAAAAAAAATGCTTTTTTTTTCAACATTCAATAAGAATATTGTCGCGGTTGGCATGCGCAGCAGAGCGGCTGCATTCATTCATTTTAATGTTCATTGTTATTTGGCCATTACTGAAAAGTGGCCAGCGATTTGCTGAACGCAACGATATTGTCAACTGAAAATGAGCATTTATTAAATGGTTTGCATGTTTGCAACTGCTACCTGTAGCCACAACTCCGTACATCATAGTCTTGATATATTTACGTTCGCATGGGCACATGCTTTCCATTGTGTCGGAGTTTTGTCTCATTTTTTTTTCTCTCTGTTTTCGTTTTTTCTTCAATTTGTACTGAAATAATGACAAGAAATGATGATAATTACCAGTTGTATGTGTACAAGTGTGACCAAATTTGTTATTATTTTCAAGTTTTTGTTTTTGACCATTTGACTAAATAAAAATAGTTTCAAAAATAAATCGCAACAACAACATACACTTTTCGACGGACATTTAAATCCAGTTTGGCATTCTTTCAATTATGCCGAACGAAAAACTAAATCTAGTAAAATCGTTTGCGCTTCTAATTGTTATTATTTTGTTTATGTTTTACAATAATTACAGAGCAAATTCCATGGATTCCACATTCGTGCTATGTTGGTGAGCGGTGTCGAGCGAGCGTCGGTTCCTGCATCAACTACACCGAAATTCGGGAATGCTGCTGCGATCGAGTACTTGCCAAACGATGTAAGTGAAACACTTGAAATATGATGAGTGATTCACTACCAATGAATTTTAATGATGCACTATAGACGTGATATGAACAATCTCTAACCCAACCATTTTCACTGTTTTTCAATTAGTTTTGAACACGATTCTCATTCTCCTGAACAATTCTTCACTGTTTTTCTCTCTGAATTTAATTTTTTTCTGACTGTAAACATTACAGACGACATTAACAAAATGAAAAATAAATAAGAATACGGGAAATATTCTGAAGGAATAGTTTCAAATTGCTCTCGATGACTTCGACCGATTAACATTTGCTATTCAAGTCTACGCGGGTGAAGAGGTCGATATGTTATCGCTGTAATATATATGCATCGTTATGAAATTCTATGATCTTTGAATTGATTCACTGAAAAATATGCATCAAGAATGTGCTTAAAGATGTGAAACCGACAGTTCAACCATGAAATTTTATTTTATGACTTTGCGTTGATTTTTGTGAAATACATAAAAAAAAGCACCGAAAGTGAAACGAATTTCTCCGAGAAAACGAATTCGATTTTACGTCATCGTGTACGCTGAGAAGACATTAAACTGAGAGCGTTTATTTTTTGCTTTCATTGCAGGGAAAACTATTTACTCGAGCGGTACGATGACGGCAGTGAATGTGTTCACTCAGCTGATTTGCGGGATTTTTTTCTTCGCATTACGGTCATTCTATTGAATGGTGTTCGTAAACAAAGCAGCCAATTGAAGTCATTGAGCAGTTGTTTTCTTTCGCGCCAGAAGGATAGGTTACCACTTGGATTAAATAAATACATCGTGAAAAAAGTTCCAGGAACGAAAACGAAAACTAAATTAAATCATGTTTTATAGAATTTGTACATTGGTCTCGTATTGATAATTGCCTATAATATTTCGTAATGCTGCGAAACAAAATCGAAATTTTTTTTCTAGCAATAAATGTGTATAAAAACAAGCGCTTTTGATTTAAGAATCGATGTAAACGAAATCAATGATATGTGTTGTCTGTGGAGATAAATAAAATCTTTTAAAAAGAAAAGAAATTCGTTTTTTTTTAGTCAAAACAATCGCTCTTCTTTCCAGGGAAAATGAATATTCTGTTCAATGTTTTGACTTTAACGCCATCTATTGAAAGAAATCCCATTTCTCCAAATTGTATGTACAAACTACCAGCAAGAATGTGTATGTTGCGCCGCATCGTATGAACACTAAACTACGTTGACGTTTTTTGTTGACTGGAGACGTAGAGCGAAAACGAGATTCAACATCAGTCAGCCTTTTCGATGCGAAAAGCCGATTGTTAAGTGCGAAATTAGTTTCAACGAAATTTTCCATTTTTTTTTTCGTTTCATTTGGTTGAGCATTTGACAGAGTGCTACAGAACGCTAGTAAACGTTCGATATTTTCGTGCAAATTCAAGTGTATTGGTCCAATTTCCATTAGAATTGCGTTCAAAGAGAAGCAAACAATTGAGTGTGTTTGAACAAGCAAATATGCCGAAAACCAAAAAATCTCATCGCCGGTCGGACGAGAGGAGAGCTGTAGATAGTGAGGAGCAGCTCAGTAATCATTCTGTTGTGTGAGTAGAAAAAGCCCAAAACTTGTATTTCATTTGAATGAATGATTGCAATTGGTAAAAAAAAAATGTGTTTGCAATTGTAGGTCGGATGAAAGTGAGCAAATTGTCGAGCAGAAGAAGCGTCACCGCAAGAAGTCATCCAAAAAGGGTAAAAAACATCGATCAAAGAGGAAGCATTCGCCATCAGAGTCGGCAAGCGATAGTAGTGACAGTAGCGACAGCAGCAGTGATAGTTCAAGTGAAGAGGAGGTGGTGAAACGCAAAAAGCAAAAGAAGCACAAGAAAAGCAAGCGTCGCAGTCGGCATGAGGCCACCGATGAACGTAAACCAAATCGTGACGAAACCGAAGTGGAAATACTTCATGAACCACCGAAAGTTCATTACATCAGCAGCGACGAAGACAGACATCATCATCATGGGAAAACATTGAAACGTGCCGATGACCAAAAACGACCGCGCGAAGACGCTTCAAATGATCGAGGAATGAACTACAAATCAAAATGGGATAGTCCAACGGACAATTTTGAACGAAAAAGGTAAATCACTTTCTTTTACTCGATGTTTACGCATTTTTGTTGCTAGACACTGTTCGCTGGTGTCGTAACGTTTGGCGCAAATTTTAAAAAATGAGGCTTAATTTGGTTTTGTTTTTCATTTGCATTACAAAAAATGTGCGGACGAAATACATTTTTAAATTGACAAAAGATCGAATTTCAGATCGAACGTCACAATAAATTACAATTTTGTTGGCATTCATTCGATAAGCTGATTTGAAAGAGAAAAAAATGCGATTTAACGTATCTCTTATGTATTTGTTTAAGGTCCTTTTTTGCATATGTTGTCGTAATTGAACGAAAAATAAAAGTTCAAATATAAAATTACCTTCTATAAACCAACCGGCCCCCAAACTTTCGTTGCTTTCGTCGACTTCTGTTGTACCAGTCGGCGAGATCAAACCGATTTATCAACAAACACATTCACATCAATTCAGCCGACCGAAGGGACTTTATTTTTTTAGTTCGATTCGATTGCTGTTGAACCAATATCGATGTGTGTGTGTGACTGTGATTCCTACTAACTCCGCGGTGCTGCAATCATTCAGTAATGAATGCATCATTTGCTGTCATAACGCTAAAAATTCATTGAATGTGCAACACTTTGCTGAACCAGACCGATCGTATCGATAAATACGCACTCTCACGGCATTCAACAATTGCAACCTCAACAAAACAACCATGTTTGCTATATTTTGCACCACAACACACACTGGGAGCTGCTTCTGTAACGTGTGTTCACGGAGTTAGAGTTATTCGCAGTAACTAAATCACTTTTGGTAGCATATTACGTATTGCATTTTATTTTCTTAACCAAGTCACAATTGGGTAAGATGGTAAATAAATACAGAAACTATTTCTTTTTCTCGTTGTTCATGCAAACGTTTCATAAATCGGACAAATGCATAATTTAAACGATATAAAGTGTGAAATTAAAGTGATTTTTTTTGAATCTGATTCGTTCCAGAAAGCGGGAATCACCAGCAGAGCGACGTGTTGATGACAGATTCCATGGTGAACAGCGCGGATCAGAGGGCATAAGATCGAACAGCTACAGGAATGAAAGGGTCGAGCGGAATGACCGGAATGACCGGAATGAACGAATCGACAGAGGTCGCCAATCGCCGCGTGGGCAACAACGCCAGGAACGTGAACGGATCGACAGAAGACCCGCAGCCAATCAACCAGAATGGAGAGGCAGAGAGCGAGCTCCAGGTGATTAATATGAGTGAATTCGTTCATTCATTAAGAAATGTTTTCATTTCGATCAATTCCAATTTCTTATTTAAAAACAAAATTGAAACGAATTTCTCCTGCTACAGAAGTTGCAGATCGTTATCGTAAGGATGATCGTGAACCAAATCGAGACCGAAAATTCCGCACTGATGAAGGTCGTTTCGGCCGACAAGAGAATGAACGAAACGAACGTAAACGAAGCGTTTCGCCAAAGGTCAATGCAAACAGAGGTCGATTCGATGATAGACGCGAACGAGATGCGGCACCACGGTTCAACTACAATGACAATCGACGCGATGGCAGAGACTTTGCTCGAGGTGAACGACGACCGGATATCAAACGTGAATTCAACGATCGCCAAGAAAGACCAAGAGACCGAAATGAGCATGAACGAAACAGAGGTGGTGACAGAGGAGACACCAGAGACAATAGACGCTCACCACCACACCGAAGCTCTGACCGTGGTGAACGACCGCGTTCGCCAATACGCTCGAATCCGTTTCGGCGCAACAAAAATCAAGATGATCAGTCGGATTTTCGGCACGATGGCCAAAAACCCGATAGGAATGACAGGAATGAGCGCAATGCCAAAAATGGTTCGGCCAATCGCCGAAAATTCAACAACAGAGAGTCTGATAATGAGAATTTTGAATGGGGCAAAGCGACTGATGAAGATAAAAAGGATGCAATAGAAAATGCCGTCGAAAAGGAAAAACCAAACTTTGGCCTGAGCGGTAAACTTACCGAAGACACAAACAAAGTGAATGGCGTTGTCCTGAAGTATGCTGAACCGCCCGAAGCACGTCGACCAAAACGTCGATGGCGTTTGTATCCATTCAAAAATGATCAAACCTTATCATTGATATACATTCATCGCCAAAGTTGCTTCTTGATTGGTCGCGATAAGAAGATTTGCGAGATTGCCGTCGATCATCCATCATGCTCAAAACAACATGCTGCGCTACAGTATCGTTTGGTGAATTATGAACGCGAAGACGGTTCAACTGGGAAACGGGTCCGACCGTACATTATCGACTTGGAATCGGCCAACGGCACGTTCGTCAACAACAACAAAATTGAGCCGCGCAAGTATTTTGAACTTTTCGAGAAGGACGTCTTGAAATTTGGTTTTAGCTCACGTGAATACGTTTTATTGCATGAAGACAGCAATGTCGACGAAGATGAGCCAATTTATGATGATGATGAGCCCATCAAATCCGAAAAATAAAATCGACGACCAAAATCAAATATTTTTCATTCAACATATTTCAATTAGTGGATTGCCATTTTTGACAAGCATCAACTCTTGTTTCCATTCATAATTCATTTTTGAAAACAAAAACACAAACCAATTCTTTTCAACATTATTTTTTTGTTATTTCTTATCCAAGAGAAAGTCGTGGGAATTAAATTTCAGTTTTCTGAAAGAACAATTTAACAGTTAAATAAGGCTTTATTGGTTAATATGCGTTTAAATTGAGTTTCAATGAAAAGCAAATAATTAAATGAATTTAATTAGATTTAGAAAATAAAACAATAGAAACTAAACATTTCTACTCATTAGATTCAGAGGTGCGATCGAAACCGCCACCATACTATGTTTCACGCATTATTCCTCGAAAATATCTTGCGAATGTATTTGAAATCATTTTTACAATAAAACTCAAAACATGAATAAATATCTCGACTTTCATTTCAGAATGACTTACGTTCATGATATCTATCACATAGTATGAAAAGAAGGCAATTTTCAGGATGTTTCCAAGAGGTAAGGCTTAATGGAGTTTTGTTCATGGAATAAATTCAGTGGATATGTGGGCAAGTACTCCGAATGCAATTATTCTGGAAACTGTGACTAAACAACAAGTGAAGATTAAAATTAAAATTGTTACACACGAATTCCATTCACACTCATGGTGATGATAACACTTATGCCCCAATTTGGTCACACATATTTCATTCGTTGGAATAATGAATTTGTTTGCTATTATTAAATGCTATGAAATCATCATTCGAAATGACGGTTTCGGTTGTTTAAACGCGATCATATCACTACTTTTAAAATATGTTTTGAAGTTGAAATAATTAAAAATCGAACTAATCCAGTAAATTCTTTTCATCCGCTAATGTATCCAAATCAATTTCTTCGCTTGAACCTTTATTAATTTGCCGAGAAGCTGAAGCAGGCGCGGCTTGACTCGCTCGCTTCAGTTGTTTCAACTCTTCGTGTTGACT